GACATCATTTACCATCTTTTCGATTCTTTCACGAAACACATGCAGATTATTGCTGAGGCTAAGAAGGAAGCCGCTAAGCTTTTGGCAGTCTTCCCCTGTGTTCTTACACCTGTAGCTGTCTTTAACAAAACCGGGCCTATTGTCATTGGTGTTGATGTCAAAGAAGGAAATCTCAGATTACATACACCTATTGCAGCTGTCAAGAAGAATTCAGTCACTGGTGCTAAGGAAATCATTGGTATTGGTAGAGTGTAAGTTTTCATTTCTCTATGCTCATATTATGATACTAACTCTATAAACCTTTAGCACATCTATCGAACGTGACCACAAGCAAATCGACATCTGCAAGAGAGGACAACCATCTGTCGCCATCAAAGTCGAAATGGGCAGTTCTCAACCGGCATATGGTAGACATTTGGAAGAAGAGGATACATTGTATTCATTGATTAGTAGACAGAGTATCGACACACTGAAGGAATTCTACAGGAGCGATGTCAGTAAAGATGAGTGGGAACTCCTCAGAAAGTTAAAACCACTTTTTGATATTCCTTGAGACCTGCGTGTGTAATATTAGCGTTGTGTTTTGAGAGTCTGGAAATGAGGTACGAAAAGAGCTTTGCACATTTCAATTATACAATATTGCAGTTCCTGTCGAAAGAGCGTGTATGATACATTAGCATCAGTACCAGAAGATATCACGGACATTAACATTTCACTGATATATTTGGATTTGAATGAAGAAATAGTATTTTGTGAGCATACAGATAGATCGATGTTTTATATAAAACACTCTGTTTTGAGATGTAATAGAAAACCTCCTGCTAGCGCCTTGGGAGAAAAACCCAAACAGCATCAGAATCGAGTAGATCCATAACATCCTGCAAATTTAGCTTTTGGGTGCTTATTTGCAAGACAGGGGTCTCTACGAAACCTTATCAAAAACCGCTAGCAAGGCTGTTATGCACTAATCCAATTTGAGAGCATTCATGTCCACCGCCATACGGCAGAATTTAATTTTTGGTCAAGTTTTCAGACTGAGCTCTCCAAAGTTCACTTTTTTTGCATCTATCACGCTTTATTTCGAAATGGGTAGCAAAAGGAAGCGTTCAGCTCAAGATGCTGCAGCTGCAGCCCCTGCTGCCAAAAAACAACAAAAAGACTCCAAGTCAGCGACCAAGAAGCCAGCAGAAGCTCCTGCTCCTCTCGACACATCCCCGTTTGTCAACAACCCAAAAGGAGACGAACTAAAGCGTGAAGTCAAGCTATATGACATGCTCAGTAGTGAGGATGATTCGCAGAGACTTGATGCCGCCAATGCCATCGTTTCCGGTTTATTGGGAGAAAATGGAGTCGAGGAATCAACACTACAAAGGCACTTGGAGAGAAGATTGTTTCGGGGACTTGCAAGCGGCAGAAAGGGTGCGCGATTGGGCTTCAGCATTGTTCTTTCAGAACTCTTGGCACAACTCTTTGGTGCTGCGAACTTGAGTGCGACAAAATATCCTGGATTGACCTTTGATAACGTCTTCGAATTTTTAATCCTCAAGACAAAACCAGAGGGTGATCTGAGCGGACAGGAACAGAAGGATCATGCGCTTGGCTTGTTATTTGGACTACAATGCTTTGTTAGGTCCAAAATCCTCTTTTCGATTGACGGGAAATGGGAATTGGTTTTAGACAAGCTGTTGGAGTTATCCAGCAAAAAGTCCTGGACTCGGGAAGAATGCGGTTGGGTGATTATGGAAGCTTTGGAGCAGATGGATCAGGATCAAGCAGAATCGACTTTGAGTAAATTGTGCGATGCTGGATTGGGACTTTCACCAGAAGGTGTCGGTATCTGGCTTAGAGCAAGGGATAAGTTCCCAAAAATGAAGTTTCCAAGCAAGCCTTGGGGCCAAAGTGGTAACCCATTGGAGCATCTTAATTCCCTTGCCAAAGCTCTCAAAGAAAGTTCATCTAGTGAGGAAAGTTCAGGTAAAGGACAACAGGCTAAGCAGACGGGAACTTGGAATCCAAAGTTACATTTTGTCTGGGACATTGTCTTGAGTCAATATGTCAAGGCAGCTAATAGCAAGGCGAAGAACATTATGTCTGAATTCGACAAATTCTGGAAGGTCACTGTTGATGGTAAGCTATCTGCATTTTACGCGTTTGACTATTACTAACGATCCGCCAGAAAATCTATTTTCTGCATCTGCATCAAGGGAGCGTAAATTCTGGGGCTTTTTAGTCTTCCAAAGGATGATTCAGAGCCATATTTCTTGTACAAAACTTATTACTAGTATTTTCAGCCACAATCTCGTCCGTTGTCTCATCAATCACGTTCAAGAGAAAGATCGTTTTCTTAACAGAGCCGCAGACAAATCGCTAAAGGTTCTAACAAACGCAGTTGAAGAAAACCCTGAAGCGTTAGTTGTTGTTCTTCAAGGATTGATTGATGGCAATGGCGCATACAGTTTTGACCGAGTCACCAAGACAAAGACGATAGAGAAGCTTCTGAGCATGGTTGATGATACAAATGGTGAAGCTGTCCTCGATGTTCTTACCTCGCCAGTTTTAGTTGTGCCAAGCTCAGAAACCAATGACGCCGAAAAAAGTCGACAAATGTTCGGTGATTACGTATTAACTGCAATTCGTCATGTTGATGTTGCAGAAGCATCAGAAAAGTCAAGTTGGATCAAAACTGCCGCGTTACCTCAACTTGCATCATTGGCATACTCGAACAACCCAGAAGCCAAACCTCCCATCTCTGAAGGCACTCGAACATTGATCAGGAACCGATTGACCTCTGCTTTTACCCACTTATTATCTAACATGGATGGCTATCATTACCCTTGCGATTTAGTCATTTCCTGTGAACCTGATGCAGTTGCTATGGACGGGCTCATCACCAGTGCTAAAGACGGTGCATTCGCTACATTACAGAAGCTCATGAAGAAAGCAAAGAAAGAGGGAGGAAAGGACAAGGCAACATACCAAACCCTTGTCACTGTTATACGCTTTGGTCATCTTCCAATTGTACAATGGCGACGTTGAAGCTGTGTCCATTCTAGATGAATTGAAATTATGTTACGACAATTTAATACGACACAAATCGACAGAGGATTCAGAAGTTGAGCCTTTCGAGGTTCTTGTGGAGCTCTTGTTATCTTTCCTTTCTAGGCCGTCTGCGCTTCTTAGAAAGGTCACACAACATGTATTCACTGCATTCATGAGTGAGATGACTGAGGGTGGACTAAAGCTCATGATGGACGTTCTTGAAACTAGCGAAAATATGAGAGGACAACAAGAAATGTTTGATGAGAACCCAGATGATGAAGACGCGATGGATGTCGACGAAGAAGATGATGAAATGGATTCAGATGTTGAAGTTGTTGACATGAATGGCGATGAGGGTCATTTAAACGCACACCTTGCGGAGGAAGAGGAGGAGAGCGACGAAGAAGACGATGAGGAAGAATCCGAAGACGGAGAAGATGAGGGAGATGACGAGGCCAACAAAGAGCTCAATGATGCATTAGCAAAGATTCTTGGCACCTCCGCGTTAGACCAGAATAATGAAGACGAGGATGGCGACAGCGACTCTGATATGACTGATTCTGGGATGGATGCTTTAACTCCAAAACTTGAGGAGGTTCTTGGCCGAATGCAAAAGAAAGGGCCAAGTAAAAAGCAGGAACAGAAGGACGCTAAAGAAAATATGGTCAACTTCAAAAGCAGAGTTTTAGACCTTCTTGACATTTATGCCAAGAAAAAAGCATCTAATCCTCTTGCTGCGGAAATTTTATTACCTCTGTTGCGCTTGATTCGTACTACTAAGGCCAAACATTTAAGTGATAAGGCATTTTCAATAATTCAATCTTTCGCAAAGTCCAGATCAAAGGCATCATCTTCGGAAGCTGAGGCAGAAATTAACGTCAAGGCGCACATTACATTGATCAAGGGTATCCATGAGGAAGTACTCAAGGACCAATCTAAAATCTTTGCCAAAGCTGCCAGTACAGCTAGTTTATCTTTAGCCTCTGGCATATACAGGGCGGACAAGAGCCAATTCGAGAAGATTGGAAAGGTGTACCTGCACACGATGACAAAGTGTGATATTGAAGGGGTGAAAATTCAGGCGAGTTTTATTGCTGACTGGGTTAATTGGTGGCAGAGTCATATTGCTCATGCTGCGGCTGGTGCGGCTGGTGCGGCTAAAGATGAGTAGAGGCGCACAGATTGACTGTGGGATCTGAATGTACTTGTAAAAGATACCATTGAATTAAAAGTTTAAGCGATCACTTTGAGATACAGGAGAAAAAAGGTTGAAGATTTTCGGTGAATATATGTGATCTTGCTATTTGTTAAAAGAGTTCATGGCCACGAAATCTTTCTATGCAGTTCAAGGGCGCCTCGATTTTAGCCTTTCTCTTCGGATATGCCATAAAATGGTAGATGATTTCGAGGCGAGGATGATACATGCATAGGTTAGTGTTATCGTAGCATTTGATATTCCAAGACTGTCCATACACTTAATCTACTCTCTTCTCAATCTCAAGTACCAAAGACCCGACCTTGTTGGATCAACCGACGAGATTATAGGTGAAAATACCATGTCATGCATACATAGGGGGGGTTGCTCGCGGGAAGCGCAGCGGAAAGATGATCCGGATGGGAGGGTTATTGGTGGTTACACTTACATGAAGGGTATATTCTCGACTCATGTTGAGTTGGGTTAGTTGGATTCGGTCTAAGGGTGCATACTTCAGATGTAATATCCTCTTAACAACCTCCATTCCCCGACTTCTTAACAAGTTTTCTATATTAAGTGATATGTTTAGCTAAACCAAGAACTTATCATAGTATCCGTATGCAAGGGAAATATATAATGTAAGTAATACAGTGACACAGTAGTAATAAGTCCAAACGAATTCATGTTTCAAATTCTATACTTCATACCGTTTCATGATCAACTAATTGCAACTACTAGCATCCATGCGCAACGCAGACTCCCAAACATCATTCGTGACAGCACTCATATGCAAATACCAAAAAGATGACTTGACTCACAATTTCAAGCTGTATTTTCTTTAAACAATAGTCATAAAAATCTCATGACTTTAGCGGGTATATCTCCTCTCCGCAAGAGTGGCGGATCTCGTCCCCGAAGAATCATGCATCTAACAAACTAATCCTCGCCATTCACCCACCAAAGAGCAATTTTCAAAAGATTGCCCTCGTTCTTCCTTATGACCTTCCCTTAACTTAAATCTCATAATCAAATTCCGATTTACGCCAAGAATTCTCCCATGATTTCAGAAGGCCGGTCCTTCATCCCCATTCGTTCCACAGTGATGGCATTCCGAACTATAATATTTCTTCAATTCTTCCTATACATATCCTCCATATACAGTTTTCCATTTTCCTTTCTAAAACACAAGCATATCAACACGAGAGATCTATCCGCCATAGCAAATGAATTGGGTACATTAGGAAGTGATCTTACCGATCCCAGCACGCTGAAAACGTTCCTGGGTAATAAGGGTAATGTGATTACGCAAAATGATGTATTGGATAGTAATGGAAGTTGTGCCACGATGACTGTTTTATTCGCACGTGGAACGGGAGAAGTCGGTATGTAGCCATTGCATCCTCACAGCAGGAGAAAGGGGAGTATAGAAGAAGAGCGAAGCTAACAGATAAACGACTAGGTAATGTGGGATTATTAACCGGTCCTCCATTTTTCACAGCTCTAGCTGCATATATGAATCAAACAGGAAGCATGGCAATCCAAGGTGTAGACTACGCAGCCAGCGTCTCCGGGTTTCTATCCGGTGGTGATCCCGCTGGCGCTAAAACAATGTGTGTATGCATTCCCTCCAAACTCACAATTAATCACTAACCAACCCCAGGGCTGGCCTTATAAATAATACTCTCACTACTTGTCCAAACACTCATCTTACCGTATCCGGGTACTCTCAAGGCGCACAACTTGTTCACCTTGCTATGAGTTCGCTATCCAGCACTACTGCTTCACGCATCAAGTCTGTCGTCATGTTCGGAGATCCGATGAATGGTACTGCGCTCAATGGTGTTGATGCTAGTAGAGTAATTACGTTTTGTAATCCTAAAGATGATATCTGTAAAGGGAAGGATGTGATACTCCCAGCTCATTTGGAGTATAGTGCGTATGCGGGAATGGCTGCTATGTTTGCGCTGAGCGGGTTGGCGGATATAGGCATTACGAGTGCAAGGAAGGTTAGCGGAGTTGGTGGGATTATGTCTTGAGTATTTCATGTCTGTCTATGGGAACGAAGTGAAGATATGCAAAATGAAAAGAGTTATCTTTGGGTAAATGATATTCAAGACTTTAAACTAGCAAAGTTGAGTTTATTTCTGCTTAGTGAATCCCATCACAGGCTTTCTATTTATGTATTGTACATGAAAAATACAACTGCACAAAAGATATCTACCGTCACTCTCCCAAAATCTCCCACTCTAAAGAATCCCCTGCTTTAACCATTGTCTTGATAGCTGTCAGTGTCCTTGAACAATCATGCTCCAGGTCATTAAGTAGAAGTCGATTAGCCCTTGATTCCGCAGCCATGGCTTGTATACTGAGGAAACCTCTTGTGAGATGCAAAAAAGTGCGGTATTCTGGACGTAAAGACGTCAACAACTTGCCCTTCCTTCTGATTTCTAGTGGTAGTCTGTTTTTCTCACTAGTTTGAGCTCTTAACTTAGCCCAACCCTTCCAATTCTCCATAAGAACGGATTCGCATGTCTTGAATGCTAGCTTGAAATGGCGAGCCCTGGCGAGATGTTGAATGTACTCATTCCAATTTTGATTACTCAATTGAAATCCAAGATCCGTGATCTCGTTGACAGTTCGTATCATAATGTTGATCTTCCCCTGCCTCAGAAGAGCTATCATGTAGAAGTGTAATGCCTTTGCCAAAGCAAACCTATGTGCAGCCATGATTTGTTCTTTGTTCTCCTGCGTGTCTAGTTTTGTATCTTTTGAACCACCCCCTTTACCCTCTTTAGAAGAGTGATCGACATCATCTTCGGCCATTTCTGCCTTTTCAGGATCATCTATACGAGATAGCGAGCCTGGAAGCCGGAGGGGTTGGTGCCGCGTTCGAATATCAGACAAGAACTGCATCCACAGATCCTCCACGGCGCCATAATCTAGTTCTTGAAGTTTTAATGACATTAAAGCAGTAGTAATACTCTGGGGTTGTATGCCTCTTCTGTCTTCTGGAAGCATTCTCAGGAAGCGTTGATGCATATCCTTGGCGGAATTTGTTTCCATATTTTTGGAAAGAACAAATATAATGTATCCAAAACAAGTGGCAGGATAAGCAATATCGAGTGGCTCGTGCTGGATACCTTTCCTGACTTTATCGCTAAGATCGCGAGGATTCATTGTTCCAACAACTTGTTCGAAAATCTCCATGGCACCTTGTGCATCTCCCCACCTACGCCTAGCTTCGTGAATTGCACTTCTTAACTCCATGAATTTTGTGCTTGCATTCTTCATCCTTTTCTGCTCAAGCATTCGATTCTGAACTCGGAAAACGTCGTCGTAACGGTGGGTAGCAAGAAAACCACCCATAACGATTGCATAATGAAGACTAGTGGTGGGTATACCAGCTTCCGGCATAACCTCTACTAAAATCTCCCACGCACGTTCTGGTTGGCCGACCATAGACAGCGCTTGCATAAGGGCGGCATACGTATCACCGTTATGTTCTATGTCAAGCTGAGACATCCTTTGAAGGATTCGATTGACGTTGACGAGGTCATATCGCAATGCCCAAGCAACAAGCAAGGAATTCCACATACGAGTTCGTGAATCCTTAAAATTCAAGTTCACGGCCTCTTCACAGATAGTTTCTGCTTCTCCCAATCGATCGCATGCTAAATAAGCAGTGACTAGTGTGCTAACCATAGCAGCGCTCTTTTCAACACCATAAGAAGCAGACATCCGATACAGTTCGATAGTGTTCTCAAGATCACCACGTGAGGCACACATGCCCATCAGAGTTCCAAAAGTGTAGTCATCAGGCTGAAGATTTCGTTTGTTGACAGTATATTCAAAGGTTTCAAAAGCATTATCATATTTGCTAACCTGTGCATAAGCACTAATGAGAATGTTGCAACATATTATGGTCGGTTTAAGGCGATATTTTTGTCGAATACTTTTGAATATTTCGACTACTCGTTCATACTCTCCTCGCCTTGCGTGAACATGTAGGAGTGGGGCCATATCGTCAGCCGATGCCAAAGGATTAGGGGCCGTTGCCGACTGACTTTCTAATCGCATGTATCGCTCTGCAAACTGTTCAAACATTGCATGGACGGTGTCGGCATCTCCGTGGCGTGCGAATTCGTCCATGCATCTCCTGTACGAATTCCGATCCAGGTTCTGATTGAAGCGGAATATATCCGTGAATACTTCTTGAATTCCGATCAAATCGTGATTCTTGAAAAATATTTGTAGTACGGAGTGCAACATGGACCTTGGAAGCATGAGGTTTTTTTTTGGACTTTCTCGAGCTTGCCTGTAAAGCACGACGGCTGCTTTCGATTGACCGAGATTGATCAATATTCGAGTCGCCTGGGCATAAAGAGAGACAGATTCAGATCCCCATTTCTGAACATGTTTTACAAGGGGCCAAAACGTGGCATATGAAAAGTGCTTAGCACTCAGTAGAGCTGATGCGATCACCTCCGTCCCAAATTTCGTGAGAGCCTCGGATGGCATGGAGTCACCTTGTGAAGAGATGCGAATCGACTTATTGATATACTGTGCCAAGTGTAAAGCCTTGCTTGGAAGATCTTCTAGATAATGTAAACTTTTGAATATATCATAACGCGGCCCAGCAAGATTATCATGCAGCTGCACTTCCGTCCAAAGAGTGAAAGCTTGTGGCCACAAACTGTTTGTCATGAGGTGTAGCATGATATCTGATCCTCCAGCCGTTGTGTTGAACTTTTCGAGTGAGTATTGGTACAGTTCATTCGCTCTTGAGAAATTCTGCAGTCTCAAATAAGTGCGAATCACGATCTCGTATATTTCAGGTTTCTCTCGACGCTCGTCGCATCGCTCAAATAATGAAGTAGCTCTTTCTGCATCTACTATTCGATTTGAAGCCGCCATGTATTCCAAGACCTGAATTCGAATTCGTTCCTCGGCCCAACTGCCCAATTCTAAACGCCGATATTTTCGCCACACCTCTTCATATCGTGAAGATGTTGTTATTCCTAGAACTGTTGCGATGGTTGCTGCGTCGTCGGGTACCTCGGGTATCATAGATCGTTTCTTGATTTCAACGGTCTCTTTCTTTTCTACATCTACTGGAACCAAGGCTAATGAAGGGCTCTTGGCAGATGACGTGTAAAGCCGATAGCCAGAACTACGTAACCCTAATCTTGTTCTTTTCCCAGCTTTTCTGTCAACCCCAAGGCCTGAATATTGTCGTAGAAATTTGAGTGTACCAGCTGGATAGAGGAAGTCCAAGGAGACACCAGGATTTTCGCTCGAAGTCCCGTCTCTGGGTGACCTTAGGTTCGAATTCTCGAAAACATTGGTCCCTTGCAACATGAGCTGCCATAATGGGGAAAGCTCAAGTTCAATTGCACCATGACTCCAAAAACCCGAATGAAGCGTGCGTCGACTTTTGACTAAATGCTTTGGTCCTGGTAGAAGGCGCCGTAGACTGCCTGTTTCAAGACATCCCGCCGTGCGCTCAAGCATGCCCTATTGAAAAGACCGAAGAGTGTGTACGAATGTGAAGGAGAAACTTTTAATCGTCACCGGTGTGCGGCTCTAAAGTGAAAACTCAAATCTAACTCAATATTAGACGAGACGATTCTGGAGGCTAAAAAGATCATCTTGAGCTTTACACTCACCGTAGAACATGCTTTGCACAGTCAAAATTAGACTGACGTTAGGAACTTATGGAAAGAGTGTGAAAAATCTAGCAAATCGTAGTAGGTTAAGCTGGAATTCGGATTTGCTGTAAGTAACAGAGGCAAAAACCCTTCATATAACAGCATAGGTAATAAATTTGGCTGGGTCGGAACATAGTTTTATTTTGCTCCGAATGCTTAAGTAAGCTATTCATTTCTACGTGGGGTAAATGTGGCTTGAGTGCCATCCATCTCATCATCAGCCACCCCACACCAGCACTGATTATTCTGCCATAAGCCAAAAGGCGGTCAGAATTATTTATACCATTTCTAGCCTCTCTCTCAAGCAACCTTGTACTTACCAAATCCCCTCGACCACCCCACAATCATAGTTATATTCCTCGAACAATGGATGTCACCAAATTTGTCGTGGAGGGACGAGATGAAGCGAAACTGTACGGCGACTCCTCCGCTTATCGAGGTCGACTTTCAAATAGAATTCATAATTTAAGAAAGAAGCTTGGAATTGCGACGAAGCCCCGCGCAAAGTACTCCAACAGGCTAGTGACAGCAGAAGATATTGGTCAGAACCATGAGTAAATCCGCCTTCCATGACCCGCGAATTATACTAAGGGAAACTATAGATATGTCCATCTCCTATTGCTCACTTCTGAACGAGCTTGGGCGCATGCTATGTCTATGAAGGAGCTACACTCTGCCGATACAAAAGGAATAACTGGCTCAACTCGATCGCATATTATTTCTCGATTACATAAATCTACATATATGCCATATCTCTTTCACTACTGTCTAGTGAGTCGACCACAATGCGAACGATGTGACTATGGAAGCTCGCGCATATGCTGCTCTCTCGCCGGGGCAATGGAATCGAGAAACAAGGTGGGAGCTTGTTGGAGAGTACTCGAGGCTAGAATCATATATACTGCACTCTCTAAGGTCATCCAAAACAGACATCTTCAAGGATCTATTGAGTGACCCCGTTGATCCGAGTATACGATATGGAGCTTATAAGATGGGAATGCCACGGACATTAGCCATTCCCGTTATTGCACGAAAGAATTTCCCCTCAGATCCTAATTTGGCGTCACAGGTGGAAGAGTTGGACCCAAACTGTTTGAAAGATGAAACAACAACGACCAAGGTTGATCATGTGGAATCTGGTGATGCACCAAAAACAATAACGTGGCGATCTCGAACAGTCGACCTAGAAGATGCAGCAATTGCTACTGCGTTGGGATCTGTAAAATCAGCTTCAGTTAAACTATCTGAGGTTCTTTCCTCTGACACTATGAAGAGTCCTAAGGATAGAGGTTCCGCATATGACGACATCCTGATTGCGAGTCAAGACGTAGTCGATGCCACGAAGCATGCAATTGATGAGTTAGTATCCGAAGGTGTCGGACAGAGCGACAAGCGAATGCAAAGTCTTTTAGTCACTAGGACTGCTGTTAGCTACGATATGATCGGCTGGCGTATAGGCAGGAATAGAGTCATGGTAGGGCAACAAGATGGAATTCTCGACTATGTCCAATCTTTCCCTTCAAAGAAAGGCAGCAAGAAATCAAGCAAGGATGAACCTACGGGACGTAAACTTGCAAAGTTACGGGAGAAAGTTGTTCTCTATGATGCGATACTGCAAAGTGTTGAGTCAATCAAAGAGCTTCCTGGTGTCGCAGCCGATTCTACTCTACAGGAAGAGCTAGGTGCAAAATATAGCTATTTTCAAGCACTCAAGTAAGTAAAAGTAACAGCTTTGGCATATCATATGAATTTAAACTGACCGTTGAATAGGTGTTTGACAATAGCTCGCTCTCATGCAGTTCTTTCAAATCCTAAAAGTGCACTAGCTCTCCTAAGTCGTGCAACAGAAAAGTGCACATCCGCCAACTCACAACTCTCTTTATCGATGGACACAATGACTACTACCAGCCCACCCAACTTGATTGTCACCCCCTCGGAATCTCAAAACCTTCTCACTTACCTACAATCCGAACTTCAACGCCACCGCGCTTTGGTTGAGATTTTCAATCTCACCTCCACCTCCTCAAAACCTGGCAATGAGAACACTCATCAAAAGCCGCTTGTTGAAAGTCTAAATGAGTATCCGGCTAACGGGGTTGTTGATCTCAAAAACCTCGTTACATATCCTCCGAAAATGGAAGTTGTACCTGTCAAACCGTTGTTCTTCGACGCAGCGTGGAATTACATTGACTATCCGGGAAGAGCAGTAGAGAAACCCATAGAGAGAACTGATGTGGAGGAAGAAACAAAGGAGACAGAATCACAACCGCCACAGCAACAACAGCAGAAGAAAGGTTGGTTTGGTTTCGGTAGATAAAAATGGGATGCAAAAGTCAATTGCTGCATCATATAGAACTTCTACAGTACCAAGCTAGATGATTACAAGAGCTAAAATAATATAGAATTTTCAAGGACTGAGCTCCTTTTGGATTTCATTAACTCCATATCATTTTTTCATGCTTGTGACTTTGAATGTGAACCTATTTAGGACATCTATCATTTTGTTGTGATACGACGTATTAGGCAGAGTTTATTAAAGCACATGCGAAACATATTCGTCTTAAAAACATTAATTGTAAAACTACAATGTTCAACCGTAATTGAGTCTGCATTTTGACATTAATTGATCAGATATTAATGATGTAAATGATGGACTTTGCTCAAGCTTAAAAATCTATATTTTGATCATTTAACACGATATTCAAACTCTCATCCCGAGAGTAAATAAGTCTTACCATACTCTCCAATTCAAGCATGTGTGTATATACAATCAAAATGATCCAATACCCCAGCACCTAAAAGAACAATAAATCTTGATCCCTCCACTCCAAATCAGACAATATAACATGAACACTCTTCTCCAAAGCCTCCGGTCCACAGATCAAAACCAGCTGTTCCCCATCCGCATACCCGCCCCCATATCCACTTCCTTGACCAGCAATCTCAAATCTCCCTACTTTCTTCTCCAACATGTCTCTTCCCAATCTACCCCTTAGTCCCGTCCATTCCTCCGTAGGCTGACTCAACGCATAAACTAATCTACACTTCTCTTCCCTTCCCTTTACCAAAGTATCTAATTCCTCTCTACAGAGAATATCCTCCTCCTTTCTATTCCCATCCAACACCACACATTTCGGTTCATCTACTTCATCCCCTTCATTTAAAATAGCCCGCAACACGGAAAAAATAGGCGTCACGCCACTTCCCCCACAAATCATCACGAATCTCCGTACCTTCCTCCTCTTTCCCCCAATAACACATTCACCCTTTGATAAATACTCGAATTTACCAATTGGGCCTTTGAAATCTATCGAGTGACCTATAGGAAGACTCTCCAAAGCCATTGTCATTTTGCCACCGGGACCTCTGTCATTTTTCGCATATATCTTGATTAGGATATCTAAAATTCCCTTATCGGTTCCGAGCGAAAGAGGTGTATAGGATCTTATAATCGCTTCCCTGGTAACGGGATCGCGTAATCGCATCATGACATGTTGACCCACTGGTAATCCGATTATTTGCTCTGCATGATTGAGGGTAAAGGAAAATATTCGTGAATCGCTTGAGATGGCTTTCTTGGAAGTGAGAATGGCTTTTTGCCAAGTTTTTGGTTGTAGGAACACGGGGCGTAGAGATTGGGGTTCGGAGGAGAGGGGTTCGGGGTTCAGGAGGGAGGTGCGTGCTGAGGGGGAGAGAGTACCGATGTGGTAGGTGGGCATCATTGCTTTTGCTGTTTCGGAATGGATGGCCATGAATTCATCGGTGGCATCTTGACCTGCTGCTCCGGTAATACTTGTGGCACCTCCAGGGTGGCCTTCCAGAAATGGGGTTCCATCGTAGACTTCGCCGTTCAGCACAAACCAAGGTTCCTTTTCATTTTTATGTTGGCGTAATTCTTCGATTGAGATTTCGCGCTTCATGCCATCTTTTGTCATCTTAATATCTTTCTTTTCATCGATCAGAGCGACGGATGCGTCTCCGCTGCCCATTTCCTCACCCCAAAATCCGTTGGCAAGGTCTCTCCCAGTAGCCTTTACTCGCTCCATCCATCCTCCTGGCATAAGTGCTGGTTGTGTGGGATGTTCGAAGAGCAGGTAATCGTGTTCTTTGGTGATAGTGATTCGATACCATGGATTATTCATCATACCAAGGACACTCCAATACATATCTCTTGGTTGAACATTCATGCTCTCATCCATGGCTCTTACCATTATATCGCTCGATATTGCAAGATCTTCGATTCTCAAATCGACTTCCCAGAAACACCATGTAAAACATGTTTCCCTCCATTCCATGTCTAGTCTACCCCCAAATAATGTTTCGTTCTCGTGGACACGGTCGCGATAATCGTCTTCATGGTATCGTATATCGGCCAATGTCCAGGACTTTCCTTTGTCGAGTGTTACCTCGACTCTTGTGATGCGTCGTCCACCACCGCCGTATGCATAACCCTTTGCACGATATGTTTGTCGTCCACTCACTAACGATAGCCGCTCTTCATGTTCCGGGTATGCAGTAACACTATTCGTACTCAGATCATAGATAGCGTATCTCTCATCCGTCCACCATTTCGGTTCGTTGGCACTTTGCTCTGGGCTAATCATAGTTGGGAGAACTCGGTTATCGTAGATGTGGTACCAATTGTCACTAGGGGTGGCTGTGACAATGATCCTTTTCAACCATTTCACACTGCGACCGCCAATCTGACCGGGAACAACTGCTCGTAAAGGTTTGCCATGATCGGGTCGAAGCATTTCTCCGTTCATTTTGTGGGCTACCATGATTCCTCTGTTTGGGTCCAAAACCCAATTCAGTTTTAGGGAGGTTCCATAATAGCCATTGGGAAGCTTGTCTGCCCCTTCCATGCATACATATTTTGCTCCTCTCATTGGGATAGCCTTTCTGATCAATTCATACATTGGCACACCTGTCCATAGAGCCGTTGATACACCGGCAGCTCCCCAAGAGAATCCTTTCGACTTTCGAACCTGGTTTTGTTCTTTACGACGATTGCCGGCGCAGACAAGTGTAATAGGTACAGTAATCTGTTCGTAATCTCTGATGAGGTCCCTTAGTGTGAGAGTAAATGGTTTTTTGACCAATCCCTCCACTGAAAACTCCCAGTCGGGTATCGCTAAGTCATCAACATGAGGTACAGCTCCATGATTCCGGACGTAGAACAATTCAGGTGATGTGAGAAATCCTTCGTCATATAAAGCGCTCAATGGAGGTTCGACATTGAACGGGTGAATTCCAGTCAACCGAATAAGTCGGGGGTCTCGGGGTACTTGGTTATCTGGGGTTCTCAGATCCTCCTTGATAATTTCCGTTGGCGGATTTGTTGGAGGCGGAAGGGTATATCTCTGCTGTGATAGTGAGATGGAACTAGCTCGGCTTGATAAACAGCTGAACTCATCTGAACTATTTTCATTAGAGTCCGGTGGAGTTGGTGGCAATTGAGTGTTTGTTTCCAGCAACTCTGTACTGGACCTGAGGGAGAGCCCATCTATATAATTCGCACTGGCCATTATGATTCCCCTGTGAAGATACCAAACGGTCAAATAGAAGGTAGAACAGTCGTTGAAGGTTCTGTTTCTAAAGAATCTGTAGGATAGGACGAGACTGGTTCGATGAAAACCACGAACGCTCAGATGAACCAGGAGAAATGATATTCAACCAAAGCTGGATCCAATTCGGTGACTACACAGAGTTCTCCGTGGAAGTAACAAAGGAAGGTTGATTACGCAAGGGAATGATAAGAGGTAAGAACGAGATCAATACTTATGACGAGGAGCAATGTATAGAGAACCGGTGACAGTGAATCAACTACTCCTTTTTTCAATCGATAAGGGTTCACCGCAGAGACCCCATCAGAGAATCTGCAGACAATTCCTTCAGGTTCGCAGATAGTATCATCTATCGTCGAATGAATGCTTCTTTTGGAGCACGATATGGTGAACGGTGCATCTCCTGAAGTGAAAGGGGCATTGTTGATGATTTCCGCGGATATATTTTGATTTTCATGCAGAACTGATAAGGCTTCCTCTTCTTTACATACCTATCTATCAGTACCCATCAGTAGCCATGGGCTTAAATAAGATACTTTTGGTGGCTCCACGCGGGCCATATACCACACTTTGCTCTTATCTATACCGTGATCGAATATGATTGGCTCACTAGATAGGGGCACTAACCGTTACTAATGGCCACAAAATCAAAGTATTTCCGCTTTTTGAGAAACCATTGATATTCTTACCAAGGTTATGTATATATCGAATCGATGATAAGGAGATCTTTCATGTGGTAGAACCAATTGACTGTAAAGCTGATTAGTTGGTGATGGCCTCGTTATCGACATCACTCGAGGCCCCTTTAAAATTTATAAATTGTGAAAGATAAGAAGATAGATACGCGGGATCATTTACCGGACAGTGGACACTAGACTTGAATCCAGCACGGTACTAGTAGTCCCACGATGCATGCTTCCGTAGATGTGGTGCCCATATAACCATATCGAAAACCAACTCCGTCATCTTGAACCTGATATCAAAAATCACAATGCAGTCTACCTTCCGTGGTGGCATGCTTATGATCTGCTCAATCTCAACCCAGATTCAACCGCTTTTGACGTTTGGTAATTACGCGAGCATAGCATCAACATATGTTGTGGATAGAAAGATGGCAGCTTACCTCAAATTTGGTCAAACCTCCATAACTGACATCATTGTGTCTCGTGACATGCTTGTTCTTCTAACAAGACCTTCTCACTGGCCATAACGATATATACGCAAGTTTTCCCATTTCCGCATCGCATCAGGACTCGGACGAAATCTGGTGGAGAGGTTATGAAAGCGAGGGCGTCCAAGCTATAGTCAAAAAGCATCTGTCTGAGCTGGATTCTTGAGCTTGTTTTGGCCTGTAGAGCCGGCCATTAAATCGCTGTTGTACTTGCTATGGTGATTGTTAAGCTTCAGTAATTGAGACATTGGCAGAAAGTAGCTCCGGTATCTAGAGTGATTTTGAACGCCGCAAATGCTTTTAATCTGAACTTCGCAAATCACTGACCTTTAGAGGCTTAGCTACCATGGAGCAAGAGTTTCTGGGAGTTTATGAGGTATTCCTTCTCACTGCTCGACGTGCGAGAAGCACGTCATAGCACATCATAGCTCGTAAAATAAAGTGTCAAAATCTTTGTTGATGATGGAACGGGAGGAGGAGCTCTATCTGAGCCATTGGTAACAGTCAGTTGATAGTATGAAATACCTTTTCAATTCATGGAGCTCAGAGATCCAACTTTGAGTTATTCATCAGCCCATTGTAGTAAAGCCCAGGATTTACTGGATGATAATTCTTCCGCATGGAGATCCGATGTTTCTCTTCCATCAGATATAACACCGTTAGGTATGTCAACATGGCGCAGTCTCATCTCCTGTAGATTGTGACTTAGAACCTCAATATGGATTTGTACTTCCTCTATTGCTAGATATGAAGATAAGCTCAGTCTCAAAGGCTCGTTATCAAACAAAAAGGTGTGAGAATGACTCCAGTTCTTGGATCAGGCAATGGCTGTTGCATGTATGTTGTCCTGCTTTCCTTCTCACGCAAGATGACAAGATTGTCCCTATGAATGAACACAGCCGTTTATTGGAACATTGGGATAGCACCATGGAAAACTCTGATGAATTCAGATATTAAAAATTGTAGGTTCAGCAGCACCAAATTGTTTGCTGCATATGATTGCAGCTATTTTTATGCAGGACAGGCCGGCTATACCTACCCTGAGGTATCCTGATTACCTCACTGGCTTTACAATATGCAGGTATCAGCCAAAAGAAAATACAATAAATGTCTTGTCCCAAACGGGACAAGGTAAATTTACCATGATGGAATATATTTAATATATTTCAATTTCATCAACTATCCAGGCATTTAGATAGTTGAGAAGTTAAGAGGATAATATACAGATGAATTATCGAAATGTCTACATATATATATTTTTCTAGATTCAAATCTTTATATGCTAGTACGAGTAGCTAGTCCTTCAACCAGCACTAGTCGATATCTGCACGGACCATGACATCAATGCAATACGGCAGCTTTCAATGTTTCTTAATGTTTTCAGTTTGAATTCCTAAATTCCACATATTTGGGAAACTTTCTCAAAGTCACTTCTACCCAACTTTCCAATTCTTCTAACCTACCAAAAGAACACCTGACAACCAATTCAAGAACCCCATATTCCGGCACACAAGCCTTCATATCCAGATGCATTTTTCTGCTTCTGTGAAGTACTATTACCTTTGGTCTTTCTTACAAAATCCCTGATGTGGGGGCGCAAGGAACACATCGCAAACCCCACCTCAAACTACACAGATCCGGCCTGAATAGGCTCACCATGGATCGCAAGAGAAAGCGTGAGTAATTGCATGTTATCCCGGCAGGTGCAGACATGTATACTGACGTGAACATTGATCTGAAGGCGAATTGCGCGACTTGAACGCGCGTGCCTGGGGTGGCGAGAAAGGTTAGCTGGTTATGCGAACAACTCCCGAATTATTTTGTCTGACCTACAAACACAGACGTTTATGCAGTCAACAAGTCATTAGATTCATCACTCAAGAAGAATACAGCCTTCATCAAGCGCCTTCGAACCGCAATTTCAGCTGCGACCCTTAGCACCTTCCTACAAGAGATTCGTACCCTGAGCCTTCACAAATATCTCTCGGAAATTATATCAGCTTGTTATGAAGGGCTTTGCAGACTTAAGTCTCCTGGGGAGGTCGAGGCCGGCGTAGAAATTGTCAGCGCATTACACCAGCGTTTTGGCCCAGCAGAATTTACAGAATTTCTAGGATGGTTGGTAGGAAAAGGATTGGCTACGCCAGAAAAGTCATTGTTGAAGAGTCTCGCAGCCGAGGCCCGAGAAAAGGAAGAAAAGGAGAGAATTGTACGACAGAGAGTACTGTTGAGGGTTGTCACCGAGTTGTGGCTCGTGGGAGTTTTGAGAACTCTAGATGATGTCGCTCGACCGGATGATGCATCCCACGGCAAGGAATCAATTTCAGGACCATCAAGTAAGGCACCAGATAATAAGGCAAAACCAAACGGAGTCGGAAAGGGTGGAGGCGCTGAACCATTTCCTCTGGAAGTTCTGAAGGATCTTCTGGGACATGATAGAGATCATGCGAACTTGCCCTTACTGGTTATCTTTGTGAAGGCATTTGGCTGGGATATACTGGGTGTCAGAGAAGCCGGATACGAGGGCAGGAAAACGGTTGAAGAAGACGGTGCTACGAAGACGACGAATAATGCCACTGATGGTGAGGATGGTGAGGGCGAGGACGAAAATGGAGATACTTCTGTGGAAGAAGCGCTACTGGTCTTGGACTCCGCCGAAGATACCCCTCTTGCCTCACCCGAACTACAGGAGCGCTTTCGAAATATCCTTAATCGCTATTTTGAAGATGTCAAAGCACACCTCATCCGTGATCAGAAGGCCATTGGTAAACAGGCTCGCAAAGATTCGGAGGCATACGTCAAGTCTGGTCAAGTGTTCGAAGATCGCCAGGCAAATTATGAAAAGGCAGTCAAGGCGCAAGAACGACTTATATCGAATGCCCAAGTCCTCGCAGAATCCATCGGTGCAGAAATGCCAGATCTCAAAGACGCTGATGATCCTTCGGCCCTAGGAAATGGAGGTGTTGGTTTAGTCAAGACTGGTGATTACTTGAGAGGCGAGGGCGAGGGCGCAGGTATTTGGGAGGACGAAGATGAGCGGAGATTCTACGAAAATCTGGTAGATCTCAAAGGCAAGGTCCCAGGTATGCTCCTCGAAGATGGCAAAAAGAAAAAACCGGATACAGATGAGCAAGTTGGTAAAAAGATCGATACATCGGAAATAGCTTCCGCAGAGTCCACAGCAACGAGGCCAACCGATGATGACCAATCTACAGCCATTGCCAACAAAACCATTGGTGCCCAGGTCGATGCATTACTTGCTCGGCTCCCTGACCTTATAAACAAAGACATGATTGACGAGGCTGCTATTGACTTTTGTTTCTTGAACTCCAAGGCTTCTCGTAACCGTTTGATCAAAGCTGTACAAGAGGTTCCCAAGGGCCGTAGTGATCTTCTTCCATCATACTCAAGACTAGTAGCCACACTCGGAAAGTACATGCCAGATATTACCAAGGGTTTGGTCGACTACCTCGATCAAGAATTTCGTAGTCTTCAACGCCGCAAGGAGAAGGAATTCCTTGGCCAAGCCCGGCTAGGAAATATCCGCTATCTAGCTGAGCTGACCAAATTTGGAGTGGTTCCTGAACATGTTATATTCCATTGCTTGAAAGTCAGTCTTGACGACTTCTCACGGATGAATATTGAGATTATATGTAATCTGCTTGAAAATTGTGGTCGATACTTACTTCGCAATCCGGAAATGTCCCCTCGAATGACATCTTTTTTGGAAACACTCAAACGCAAGAAATCGGTACAGCATATTGGCCAACAGGAGCGCATGCTAATCGAAAATGCCGTTTACTATGTAGACCCACCTTTAAGAGCCGCGATCCAGCAAAAGGAGAGAACTCCCACTGATTTGTTCATCCGCAAACTTGTCTACTCTGATATGACTACACGCAACTATGCTAGAATCATCAAGTCAATTCGGAGGCTTCACTGGGAAGAATCAGAGGTATGTATCATTTCTAAATCTAGAAAAAGATGAAAAAAGACATCACTAACAATACATTATTCAAGGTTGTCACCATCCTTGAAAAGGTACTCTCCAAACCTGGGAAAGTAAAGTACGGTAACATCTATCTATTGGCAATTGTCACAGGCGCCCTATTTCGGTATCACCAAAGTTTTGTAGTTACAGTCATCGACAACGTCTTGGAGTACATTATTGTTGGTTTAGAGCAAAATGATTTCAAGTTCAATCAACGTCGGATTGCAGAAGTCAAGTACCTCGGGGAACTGTACAATTTTCGTATGGTTGATCATCCTGTAATATTTGATACAATGTACCGTATTTTGACTTTCGGTCACGGTAAGTTACAACCGTGGCAATTTGTAGTGTGCGGCATGCTGATATCATTAGGTGGACCCCCTATCCCTGGCCGCGTTAATCCATTCGATATGCCCGATGACTTTTTCAGGATTCGTCTTGTAGCAACTTTATTAGAGACTTGCGGTGTTTTCTTTAGTCGTGGTGCGGCGGGAAAGAAGCTTGATTACTTCTTGTCTTTTTTTCAGGTATATTACGTTCACAATCTTATGATTGCTGTCATGTTGACTCTTATAGTACTACATCTATACGAAAGATCCTTTGCCCATGGACATTGAATTTATCGTCAGTGATATTTATGCTGCCACGAGACCTCAATGGAAGCTTGCCTCGAATATAGAGGAAGCCAGTCGTGCTTTTCAATTAGCTATGGCTCAAGATCAAAAGACTGCTGGCATCGAGAAGGTTGTTGAACCGGAAGAGCCAGATAGTGACGCATCATCGGATGAGGGAGATGCAGGTATTCCAGAAGGAGATGCTGATGATGCTTCCTCTGATTCTGAAGAAGAGCTAGAGATTGACGCCAATGCCGACAGTCTAACATCCCCAACAGGAAACGAATCAGAAGAAGAAAATTTTAGTGTCACTCGCCAGGAAGAGGAAATCGATCCTGAAGATGAAGCTGACTTCGAGCGTGAGTATGCTAAAATGATGGCTGAGAGTCTAGACTCCAGAAAATTTGAACGAAAAGCAACATTTGATGTTCCCCTTCCCATGAGACGCAAAGATCGCGAAACCACAAATTCAAACGAGTTGCCCAAGGAGTCTTCTTCAGCAAATAGCCCCTCTGGAGGTACAATGGCATTCTCGCTCTTGACAAAGCGTGGTAATCGCCAACAGGTTAGCATTCATTTAAAGCTGGATTGCTTAGATTACCGCTAACTGTTAATTTTTAGACTCGTACAGTTGCCCTGCCTTCAGACTCAAATTTCGCAATTGCTATGAAATCACAACAAGCTGCCGAGCGTGAGGAACAACAACGCATCAAGAATCTGGTCCTAAACTATGACCTCAATGGTGGTGACGAACAAGATGGTGACTCTACACTGCAACCCTTACTCCCTAACCCCAATATTCACACTTTCAATCCAGGTTTCGATAAAAGTGCCACTACAACGTTCTCCAGATCTGATAAATCTGGTAGTAACCGTAGTGGGCAAAGGTCAAGAAAGTTACAGCTTAGTGACGTTGATTGGTATGACCCCCTAAAAGAGCCCTCTCAATTTCACACTCCAAGAAAGACCCAAAGAGATGAGAACAGTAAATGCCAAAACCTTGACAAATTGGATGCCGAGGTTGTTTCAGTGTCAACGCCCGAAAGAAAAGTTTCAAGGCTGTATCCAACCCTCGCTGCCGAAAGTAGGTCGAAAGGCAAAGGTTTCGCTGCAAAGGAAGAAGATCAGCCAACGGTAAATTCGCCAAGTACTTCCGAAAAGTTCCGTGTGAGATAATATCTGGCTTACATTCGGCAACCTGGTGTTTTACTTTGATAATAGGACACAAAATTCCAAACTTGCTTTCATTTCTTGTCGGAGCGAACATTATTAAGATAATCCAACAAGAAAAAGTGCTGACATATTCCCCTTTTTCCGGGGATCTCTCAATAGGACATGATAAGATTTGGTGTTACAATGTTCGCGCAGTTACAATCTTAACTTCGACTTTGGAATTGGGATTGGGATTGCCGGCATATAAGTATACACTTCTTCTCTGCTAATTCGATATGAAGATCACTAAATCTGGAATACAACTTTCTCTCGGAAGTTCATACTTAGGGAGTGTGATTCAACATGACCTCCTGTCGGACTCGACTCGATGCACACAAGCGAGCAATCATTACTGATGGCCGGCAAGTCAGTAGACGCTAAGGTGTCAGCTAACGCAGAGGGAACGGTGGATCCGGTGAAACTGAAGGATGGAACCATGCAAATATTGAAGTTATCCAGGAGTTGCGAAACGAAGTCCACATTCACCCGAAAGGATGGTTGGGTGCTGAGTTAATTGGTGAGAAATTGGAGAATCGGATGGAATGGAAAATGTGGTGAAGAAGAAGAAATGGAGAGAGTTGTGGATTCGGTGGCCTGTTTTTCGTTTTCTTTCATCCACTCTTTTTGTCTTGCTTACTCTCTCATCTGTCACAAAGACAGCATTACACTCTTTTCTCGTGCGTATGTTCAAATCATCCACTTGTTCTCTATTTATCTATCCATCTATTCATCTAGTCTTACTCTTCAACTGCTGGAGAAATCTAATTGTTGAGAGTGTGAGTGTGAGTGAGAGAAAGAGAGAGCAAAGAGATGGATTTGGATGGTTTAGCATATGTTACTTACAATGGAGGAGCATTTCACATCACGTCAACGTATATATCCCATCTCTAAATGTTTGATATGTCCATATGAGTGAGATCTGTATGTATAAACCTACCCAGTGAATCATCGCAAAAGAAAGACTAGGTATCCATCCCAAATATCCATCCCAATCCATCTCCATCAGATAATTCAAATTCAAATCCGATTTTCAATCTTTCAACTCTCATCAAAATAAATCCATTTTTATTCTCCATACTCTCTTTAAGCAGTGGCCACCAGGTCGATTGCATTCATTCATTCACTTATTCTCTTACATCATCTCCCTTTTCCTCATTCTCATCACTCTCGAATTTCGAGCGCTCGTTATATAAATAGATCGATAGGTAGATAGATAGATAGATAGATAGATAGATAGATAGATAGATAGATAGATAGATAGATAGATAGATAGATAGATAGATAGATAGATAGATAGATAGATAGATAAATAAATAAATAAATAAATAAATAAATAAATAAATGGATATATTTTCTTTTATATTTAGTTAATACTCACTATACTAGGCACTAACTATTCACCAACTATTCACTCACTATACAACTGCGCACTAATCAAGTAAAGTGTCACTTTCTTCACACTAATTAATCATGTAAACTCCATACTCATGCTCATAATCATAGTTTTCATAGTTAATCATAATCATATTCATAATCATAAGATCCATTCGTTCTATAATACCATTCATTCCTAGTTTCGCAGTCGTAAGAATTATCACAACGTGCATGATCTATTTATTTCCACCCAACTAACTCCCTCAGATTTGCCCCATCATCTATTTTCACCTCACTTCTCCTCAACCTCGGCCTCAGGCTTTTCAGCATCCGTCATGATTTCATCATTATTTCCTCCATTCTCTGCTGCTTCCATGGCCATCGCTGCTTGTTTAGCGGCTTCGGCCATCTCCCTCTTCCTTTGCAACTCAGCCTCTTCTTGTTTCCTGACCTCCTCACGCTCAGCCTCAACCTTGTCAAAGTAGCGTTGAGCAATTGGTCCTGCTACCATGCTGATTTCATCCATCTTTGCTACGTAGACAGCCTTTGTTGCCTCTTCACCTTCATCATAGAGCCAATCCTATTTATAATTAGTATGACTAATTTCAGGCATAAGGTAAAAAGGGAAACTAACCTCGGCAGCCTCAAGCTTAGCCTTTAACTTCTCCTTCTCCTCGTCACTTGCAAACTCGGCATATTGATCATCAATCTTATTTCTCATTTCGTAGATGTAAGTCTCGAGTTCATTCTTCTTCTCTTCAGTATCGGCGACCAATTTGTCTTCCATGTTCATGGTGTTTTCTTGTTCGGAAGCAGTGGCAATGGCAGCGGTGTCCAGAGAAGCGGTACCGGAGACAATTGGAAGATCACCCTTTCGGACTTGCTTCTTAACCTTTCTGGTCTTTGGTTTATCATCGGTATCCATAGCCTTGACGGGGGTTGTTAGTTTATCATGTCCCTGTAAACGGGGACGCTTTGGAATAGGTTCGTCCTTGGGTAACGGTTGAATATCAGTAAAAATCTGGTTACTCACATCATCCTTCTTCTCTCCATCCTTCTCGGGGATTGGCTCCTCAACCTCCATATCCTCAACGTAGTATCCTTGCTCAACGTTCAAGATACCATGTAAATTAAGACGAGCCTTCAATTTACAGATCATGAAGTCATCCTTTGAGTCAGCCTTGACGTTTTTGACGGTAAATCTTCCAATCCATGGGTTCATTGTGCCAGGCAATAATTCTGGCTTGGCATACTTGGCTTCCAGAGTAAATGGTTCCTTTCGGTAGAATGTAAGTATCTTGGTTGAAGGCATAATTCCACCTTTGTTGAAAACAGTGAGGCTAGTATCCTCATCCGGAATATCTGGAGATTTTTCCCATGTGAACTCAATTGGGTAGTTAACGATATCGTGAATGGCGAAATCGCGGACACGGAAAACAGGGGAGAGAATGGCGCAGCTGAAAGCACATCCTCTCGCAATAGCCTCATCTTGGTTGAGGGTGAAAGAGAGGTTCTTGCCGAAGAACTTTTGAATGCGCTCTTTGAGGGCTGGGACACGTGTGCAACCACCGACAAGTTCAATAATATCGATATCTTCAACCTTCAACCCGGCATCGGCCAAAGCTTGCTCCAAAGGAACGTGGACTCGGCTAAGAAGTGGCTCAACAAGTGCCTCGAGCTCTTCACGCTTCAACATGGCGCTAACATCAACATCGTTCATTAAAGATTCGATGTTAAGAGGTGCCATGGCGTTGGCAGACAAGATCTTCTTTAACTTCTCGGCACCAGCAGCGACACGGACCATAGCCTTAGGGTTACTCTTGATATCAATCTTGTACTTCTCCTTGAATTCTGTGGCGAAATGCTCAACCAAAGCCTTGTCGAAGTCTCGTCCACCGAAATGTCTATCGTAAGCGGTCGACTTGACGGTGAGTTCACCCTTTCGGAATTCCACAATTGAGGCAGTGTAGTTGCTGTGACCGATATCGATGAAAGCCACGCGACGGGGCTTCTCCTCTGGACCTGGGAGATCCAACTTGGTGATACCGTAACCCAAAGCAGCGGCTGTGGTATCGTTCATCAGACGAAGAAGCTTGACACCGGCAATCTCAGCAGCATCCATCAAACTTCTTCGCTGAACATCAGTGAACCAAGCTGGTACGCTCATGACCATATCTGAAACTGGAAGTTTCAACTCCACGGAGGCTGTGTGTTTGATTTTGCTCAAGTACATAGCCACAAGTTGAGTAGCCGTGTATCTTTCCTTCTTGCCCAAATATGTGACCTCCGCACCAACTTGGCCGTTGAGATCGACAAGAGGAGCCGAGACATAGTCTTGTTCTAAAGCAACATCTGGGTCCTTCAACGATCTGCCTGCTAATCTCTTGAGAGACCCAACGGTGTTCTTGAGGTTGGAGATTTCTTGTGTCTTCGCTGGCTCACCAAGGTATCTGGATTTGGGTCCGAATCCTACAAGGGAACTATAAAGTAGATATGTTAGAGATATTGTAGGGAGTGCAGATGATGCAGGGCCAAGATAACTTACGGAGTGGCACGATTTGAAACTTCATTTGTGATCTGCGCAAAGGAAAATTAGCATAAACACCCCCACCAAAAGAAAAAAACAACAGCTCAAAAGAATTTAAACACATACGACATCAACACCACGATTTCTTGCGACAGCGATGACTGTGTTAAGAGTACCGAAGTCTACACCAACAACTGTAGATGATTGTAGTTAGTATTGAAGTCCAGATGCAAAAGAGTGGTTCGAATCACAAGCACGCACCAGACATATTGAATTCGAGTTGTTGTCTTTGCGCTTAAAAGTAAATGGGGAAAGTATAAGTAAGGTTAAGAAGACGAAAACTTCTTTCTGAGGATAAGAAAAAGAAGAAGGGATATCTAAAACGGGGGATTCCTTTTGAAAAATCTAAACAGAAAAAAGGTAAAAACTTTTTGATTATGAAGTTGTTCGTGATGATAGTGAAATCTCCAAGGGGATTGTTGGTATTGTATTGACAGAGTAGGTTGGTTGGTATGGATGAAACAAGCAAGCAAGGCCTTTCTCTCAATTTTTTTAATTTTTCCAGTCTAATCTGGCGAGGGCGCGGTCCGTTGCTCTACAGGCTTACAGGCAACTTCTTCCACTTTAACGAAGAAACTTCTCGATCTTTCTCGGCGCTTCACTTACATCAGGAACAACATTTCAGCCCATTCAGCCCATGACAGCCTTATATATATTTATTTCATTCCTTGTATTTATTTATGATTTTATATAAAATATGGGATCATCTATAGATACCTAGATAGGTATTAACTAGTAAAGGAGTTTCTATTATTTTCTCAATCATAATTTATTTATATATTTACCTAGCATTTACATAAATTATTTTATAACCACTATCATTTCAATTGCATTCTTCAACGATTCTCTCACTTTCCACCCACTTCGTTCATTCACTCCCTCCACCTTGTTCAACCCCTCCTAGTCACGTGAAAGAAATCGACACACTAATGTTTTCGATAAGGCGAGCCACCAAGCCAACGAGCCACCGAGCCACTAGCAAGAACTCGAGCCACTTTTGGAGGGTCATTGGGCAAACATCAAAAAAAGAAAAGAAAAAAAAAGGGTGACGTCTATTTTGGTGGGGTGGAAAATGTTGTGTGTGTTGGCAGACAAGAGTTCGCTCTATCGATTTGTCAAAGAGCCCAAAGAGTCTAAAGAGTTCAAGGATCATACCTTGAGAGATTTCGCCCTACTCTTTGTCACAGAAAACAGGAAATGTGGTGTTCATTGGGTTCATTGTTGGCATTGGCATTAATCAACTTACTCCCCTTAGTATTCTTGTGCCCAGTTAGAGATTCGTTTTCAGCATTGTTGACTGCATGTAGATCTTTTCATAGACCATCACTACCATAACGGAATCAAATCCTGAAATGGAAATACTCAAGAAAATGACAGCAAAATTTATTCGCTTTTGTATTATTATTGTATTGTAAAATCTTAGCTTGCTCATCAGCTCCCATTTATCATTAATTATAACTCCTGCCAAAAGGCTTTCTACTCCGGCTTCTGTAATGCAAAATTTCCCTCCATATGTCCTTCTATGGTATGATTGTTTGTACGCCGCGCTATGCCCATCCCAATATGGTGTCGCAAAAAATATCAAAAACGCAAGATGCGATACGCAAATGCAATGTCATGTGAATGCCCTTCACAGTGCCCAAGAAATCCATCTCTCATACGTGTATTCCCCCGTAAACCCAGTTAAATGTTTCCCGATCTCCCCATCCAGAATCTTAAATGCGTCATTTCATAAGATATTATTCTCGACGTTGTGGTTTTGGTTCGGGGGAGTTTGAACTGTTTGAACGCTGATCTTCCAGCTCAATCGATTCATCCCTCGAAGTGGAGCGTATCAAAGACATACGACCCAAAGGACTTCGCCCATTCCGGTACGAAGATGCTTGGGGAACTGCCAAAGAGTTGGATGTTGTTCCCTCCAAGGACCCCAACGATTCTAGTGAATCCTGAAATCCACCTTTAGCTTCTGGTCCATCAGAAATTTCATAGACGTATCCCTAAGCATACAATTAGCACTATTGGGTTTCACGGAACGGTGATTACTTACTTGATTGTAGTATGCTCCAGCTGGTGCCTTTTGATTGGCTTGAGCAATCTCATACTTCTTTCTATCTTCTTCTCCCATGATACTTTCCACTCGTCTTGGCATGTACACTGAATTCGTACCAGTAAACCCAGATACATAACTATCGAAAGAGTCTCTGGATGCCGTAGGGTTTCTCCCAGGAGGTAGAACACGTCCAGCAGCGACGCTATTGAGAGAGTCATTGACATGTTCGTACCATCCACCAGGAAGTCTTTCTGCAGCTGCGAAACGACCTTCGAGACGGTCTGGAGGCAACAATGGAAGGGTTGGGCGCCGAACAATTTGGTTGTTTCGAGCTTCGGCGGCGGGTTTGAATGTTTCAGGGATGACATTAAGCTCATCTCCAGCCTCCTCAGCAGCTTCGATAACTTGTTGTGGGGTTTTGGTAGAATCAGCAGCTCCAGCATCTGCTCGAGGTCCTCCCCAGGTTCGTTGCCCACACGTGAAAATTCCATAGACCATATAATACCAATTGAAGAAAGGATTGATAATGAACATCAATGGGTAGAGCCAGATCTTGAAACGTCTGAGCTTAGCACCAAAGTAGATCATCATCAACCAATTAAGGCCAAGTGAAATACCAATAAACCCTACGGGAAGATCTTGAACTTTCTTTGTAGTTGTAATAATCGAGAGCACCATGATGAAGAAAAGTAGAGCTGTTGTTCGGATCGTGTTTTGCATAAATCGGACAACGGCCAAAATTGGATATCTCTTCCAAATTCTGATGTCAGTCAACATACAAACCTCATTGGTGATAAACCCCAAGAACCAACGGCGACGCTGCTTAATCAATGATCTGTAGGTTTGAACAGCTTCGGTCTTGCAGAAAGCAGAGGTACACATTTGAATTTGGTATCTCTTCTTTGCTCCAATCATGAAAAGATGAGTCAGCCATCTATCCTCCCCCAGGTGACATTTACCGTAATCAAAGAGATCGTCACATTGCTCTGCCTTGTCAGCAAAATAATACTTGGCCATGCGGCGGAAAGCCGAAAACCGTAGCATCGTTAGAGCTCCTGGTAAACACGTGACGGAACCACAACCTGACTCAACCGTTCGCTCAAAGAGTTGGCCGTGAATGTATTCCATATCCTGGAGCAAAGTGATAAGACTGTGTTTCTTTGTAGTTGAAGTGATAACCCCTGTCATTGCAAGCATATCTCTGGTATTCCCCGGGCTCAGTTCCATATCGTACATGAAGTTCTGGAGACAAACACGATCCAAGATACAATCAGAGTCGATGAAAAGGATGAACAGATTGTCATTGCGCTTCAAATATTCGGTATAGACCTTGTCAATTAACTTGAAAGTAGCCTTTTGGCAATGACGCTTTCCACCGTGGGGAAATCGGGAAACTGTGATGCGGGCCGTTCGGTAGGTAACATCAATACTTTTTGGGTAGGAGTCCAGAGATAGCGGAACCCCCAATGCCTCGATCGTCTTGAGATATAACTCATCTTCTTGGTCCCCATCGAAGGAAAGAAAGACGTGAATACAGGAAGGAGGATAATCACAATCCACGATTGAATCGATAGCTGTTACCAATATATCTGGTTCTTCCTTATAACAAGGCATGACAATCACAACTTTTGGTGCTGAATGCTCATCCAACACTTGTTTTATACGTTTCGTTCGTCCCAGGGAATGAGTGACAATTTGGTATACGCAGAAGAGCCATGGAATCGTCAAAAGGGCAGCAAACGACCAAAAACCGAACCATTGAAGGATGGTGACCATTTGTATAGGAAAGTATTGAGTAACTCCTGGTGGTAGAGGAAGCGTGACAACCATGATGGGAAGGTATATAGCTCTGTAGAAAACCCTGATCAGTAGAGCACATAAATGGATTCTCCGGATGATCCCCTACCTCAAGAGAAAGAAGACAATGGCAACTATTATTGCTAAAACCCGAACAGACCAGTGTTCGGCCTTCTGGAAGACCTTAAACAGACAATACATAAAAGCTGCCAACCAAAGAAACCACTCGAGGAATGCGGCAAGCATTACCGAGCCTACTATGGCAGTGTAGACGATCTGAAACCAAATTTGTCAGTAAAACACTCCTAACCAAACCGTTGCAGAGAAAAGTTGAGGCATTGGCCTGGATGGGAACAAACTCACGTCTTTGACCGGCCATGGTGAAGTATCGTATTGAGGCATTTTGAACCACGAATAGATGGTTGTTTTGTGATAGACTTTCGACAGAAGTTGTAATATGGATCTCGGCCGATTATTAAATCGCCGCCTGCAATACCTTAGAGCTTGAAACGGAAGACCATGCGCAAGTTCCCGAAAAGTGTCCGTTTGGAAATGAGTAACTGCATAGCAAATGCGTCAGAATGTGCCCGTAAAGAAACAGGGGATGAATCTAACGTACAAACCAATCACTCTCCACCAAATCCCTTAACGTGAGTAATTTGTAGATTCTTAGTAACACGGTTTGCGAGTTCCTGTTCGACAAGGGAAGATTCGAGAATAAATATGTTGAGCAACACTCCGCCTAGTCGGTCGAGAAGTTTATACACAAGATGATGTGGGAAAGAGTATATCGTATTCTCCTCAAGAGGCGGATTTGAGGCTTAGATTATTTCTGTATGATTTCGTGAGGCGATGGCGGAAAAGAGAATGAAATGCGGGTTATCGTGGTTCGCTGCAGGTTGGACCGTCACAGCAGTAAATAGGTGGAAGCTGCAGTATAATGTCTTGGTATCGAATTAATGTTTGGTTGAACGAATGGATGCCCCGTTAAATGGCGAAAAAGTCCTAAAAGGGAGGAGAGAAGAAGTTTCACCAAACGATTGAGAAATTAATGAAATGAGGTAGGTGGTTGATGGAAGGAAAGATTCAATCTTTCAGTTGTTTTTGAACAGTAGAAGTAAAAGTTAAGAGCGGGGAAGCAGGTTAACGGTGGGAACGAATGAATTGAAATGATAATGTTGGCTCCAACCAGTGACCCAGGCAAAGATTCTTGAATCTTTAAATTTTTGGAAGGAAGAATGATGATTGTTTGAGGGTCGAGGAAATGACTTTGAAGAGGTTCACCAAATGGTCCACGAGGGTCAAGTAGGAAGGAGAATACAAAAAGGAAGTTTTAAAGCATCAACCCCTGCCTACCTCTTGGAGGGTGATATCACGTATTTCTTATACTTTGCCTGTATGCCATGTGTTTGAAATCATGAAGATTCTACGGTTCCTCGAGACGGCGGAGTATACAAGTCAACTACACTGCATTGGGTAGAGGGAGAAGAAGCTGAGATGGATAAGATGTAACGATTGGATTCTTGGCTTTGATGGATATTTTCCAATTTCAGCATGTAAAAAGTGATTGAAGCGAGAAGAAGTAAAATGGTAGGAAATGGGGTGAAATTGATACCTTTTTGGGTATGGATGGATGCTATTACCAGGTGTATTTACCGTACAGAGGTAGAGTAGGACCTATAGATAGGTAGGGAGGTAGTGTTTGTTAAAGCGCTTTGATGATGGGATGTGATGTACTCTGAGTCTCCGTCTGTCTGCTTGTGGCCCGTGATGCAAAATACCCTGGTCCCCTGATGAGTCTTCCCGCCAAAGGTAAAGTTGTATGGCCTTCTGCTGGTGTGTGCTCGGGCACTTTTCTTCTCAAGTGGAGCAGGGAAATCGCAGCTAGTGATACTCCATGTTCCAACGATTCTTATTGGCCACAATGACAGCAGATCTTAATGCATGTCGCCAATTACTCATTAAGAAGCTGCCATTTTTAGCAGGCAAGCGAACTGTTCATGATGCGGGTGGAAAAAGTAATACCACACTACCCTTGTTTATTTGAGATGTAAGGGTGATCGACTGGCCAGTTTCATCCAAGACGCGACTGCAACGACCTTCCAACGCGGTTACAAAAAACACAACATCCAATCTCTGCAAATATATTGAATTTACTTTGCATGCATTACTGCATTCCATGACTAGCTTGGGAAATCTCTTTTCTTTCCATGTACTAACTTACGACCAAGATATCTTTTACCAAACATCATTCGTTCAAACGTCAAAGGTTTTTCCACTCGGGGATGACTTGGTCGGTTAAATGATCATCAACCTTTCCCATGTTTTGGCGTCAAAGAGCGACTATTTTCCCAGCTACTTACTCATGATGCTTTGCTTTGGTCCAGTCAAATAAGGCTCGAATTATCCTCTTTTCCCCCATTAACTCTTTGTAGTTTGGCTATTCCATCAAACTAATTTCTTGGGCGGTTGGACCCTGACTCTCGACTTTCAACGAGTCTACATGCGATGAAGGTACAGCAGTAGAGCATGCATGAGTACTGCTACCGGGTAGTAACTACGTAGGAGAACAAGAAAACTATCCGAAATGGAAATCAGACCAAAATAATTCGATCTTGAAATTCTCCTCTATTGCATCCCAGCATCGTGGATTTTCTTGAAATTCACGTACGTACATTCATTGTGTGAAGGGTTTTGCCATATCATTTTTTTTCGCCAAGCTGCATACACGAACTGCCATTCAAAGGATTATACTAAAAGGATATCAACTATTGGCTTTTTACCTGTACCATACGATCAATCAATGAAGGTATGAGCTTGTTTCTCTCCTCTTCGTCCTACAAGGATGACGACTCTGTTCAGCTATTTGTTACATTTTTCACATTTCCCACCTTCCTGGTATCATCGGTGTAGCCCTCGACGATAAAAAAACGGTTGCGCCAATACAACATGTCCCGACCTTCATCCACCGGGAGATGTCAGCCGTCAGTATTATGTATCACATCTTTTACTTCCGATACCTTATTGCACGTTTTCTAAATATCAAGCCACAAAACAGGGGATTCGTTCAATGATGAGGATTAAAGTTGGTGTTCGAAAAGTCTCCATCTACGCCACAAGGGACATATTGTTAGGCCTCTCAGATCCATTTCGTTGGCACTGACCGGTCCTCGGACCTTTTGACACCTGCGCAGCAAACTTTCCAATATACCGGCATTTTTAAGGATCATGATTTCAAATACCATCTGACCGGTATCTAAACACCACCTGAGGAAATATCTTATGACCATATCAATCCTCATTGATTATTCCCGTTGGTAGAACATCAAAATCCGATCCTCCACCCAAAAGGTCTTCGCTTCAATATATGTATTTCCTTCCCCTCGGCTAAATCGCGATGATATTTTTCGCTTCCTTTATCAAATCAAGGATATATTCAAGGATCATTAGAACAGCATCTCGGGTCACTATAAAATCCATGTGGTGTTCCCCCAAAGATCATCAAAGCCTCATTTAAAATTTGGAGACCGGGAATCGGAGTTTTTTTTCTTGGATTGACATTTATCAAAACTCAATCTGAGCTTCATCTCATCAATACGATTCTGTACTTCTATGCCATATGGGATCCTGGATTTGGCATACAGCATTGAGTAAATAATACAACAGCTAAAGACCCAAACGCAACCCAAAGTCGTGCACATATAAAACACATAATACCGACATGACGCTCATCAGGTCACAGAAGAAACATCAGATGGATATCTAGGATAGTTTTGATATCATCCACAATTAAGAGTTCGGTATCATTCTGAAACAAGAAACGCAAGGAAGTTTCCCGAAAACGTTTTCACCGCCTTGCGCCCAGCATTTCTGCCACTCAACGTCGGCATGAGTCGAATTTTTGGTTTTTATTTTTATTTTGTTTTTTTGATTCCTAGCTTTCGAATTCTCCCAGTGGTGGAGTTTCGTACTGCGTTGGCATGTTTTTGTACGAGCTGTCGAAATTATTGAATCTTATCTGCATAATACTTACATTAACATATCTCATATATGTACTCTGTAGTGAGATATACGGGGTAATGCTTGCATTTAGCCCGGTAAAATGAATGAGTGTACGGCGTATGACAAGCGAGTGCTCGTGCTTTTGTCATTAGACGATTAGACGATCTGGGCTTAATGAGTAAATTTTGAGGAGGCTAGATTACAGTCGAACATTCACGGAATTCCATCTCTTGCACTGTATGAAAACGATTGGCAATTTCTTATATCTAGATCTAGGTTCTATGCTTCCACTACATGTAATAAGCTTACATACCTACCTGCATAATGTTGAGATCGGTTGATACATACTCTCTCAAATGCATCACTCAGCATCCAGCCTGATATACCTTCTCGCATGCAGTAGTAGCCAGCCTTGAAGTATTCTTTAATTCCTCTTATCATATCCGATCATAGTATAATTAGCATCTGATCACAAAAGTACTATTCCCTCACTCTCAAATATTATAATATCTTTTCTTTTATTAAAAGTACTTATAACATCTCAAACTTAGAATTATATATATCTTTCCAAAATTCCACTCCTTTTTTCTACTTATGGAAAACTTGCAAATCTCGACCGTAGACTCGTTTTATACTTTTGTTATAAGATATATCTAGTGGAAAGATAAGATCATATAATTATATTAATAAAAAAAGGACTAAAGTTCCTTTCTATAAGTAGACATCTATTTAGTAATCTATTCATTCATAATACCTTAGTACCTTAATATCTATTTCTAACCCTGGGCGGTATTCTATAATCTTATTTTCTCTCTCTTTTATCTTTCAATCATTCATCAAGCATCTATAAAGTATCTACCACCTACCATCTACTGCCCACCTATCTAATAATTTATATATATCCATGTTCTATATAATGTTTAATTAATTCTCTCTCCTCTCTCTCCTCTCTCTCCTCTCTCTCCTCCCTAATCTCCAAATACCATAATTTCAACAATAAACAATGATAATTAAATAATTAAAGACATCCCATTCATTAACCACACATATCATATCATATCAAATATAGATCGATGATATTCCTTTTAATTAAATTATTCATTCAAAGTACCCTACGCTACGCTATGCTACGATACTAAGTTCGAGTACTATAGAAAAGAAATACACATCCAGCGATGTAATCTATCTACGAGGATATCCAGTCGAAATTCAAAGCTATATCCCCCCCAATTCAATTCAATTCAATTCTATTCAATCCGATCCAGACGAAAAAACATGCCAAATCACTCCTATGCAATGCTACCATGCTGATATATATCGATATCTCTGTACATCCGCATGCAGATGATCTCATCACCCAAGCCTGACCAAGCTCAAACCAATAGACTGCACCACATAGCAGTGAGCTATGTATGTGAAATCACAAAATTCCACCAATTTCCACATGCCTAATGAATTAAATCAAACCCTCATTTATATCCTCCCTCCCATGTCCCCCTTTCCTTCATCTCCTCCACTCATCTTCATCGATAATCCTACGCCCAACTCCCTCAATCTCGTTGCTAACAAACCTTCAGCTGGAGATTGCCTCCCTTCTCTACTAGAACCGTTCACTCTTGCAGACGAATATGCATTACCACCATAACCCGGATCTCCTTCACTCAACTTATCATAGGAAGTCATACCAACACCTACATCCATTCCACCCATTGCCACCTCCCTAAACGCTGTACCTGGTCTCAGAGTCTCTGAAGGGTTTGATGATTGTCCCGACTCCAAATCTAGCGGCCCAAGATTTCTCTCCATGTCCATCACACCCCTCCTTGAAGGAAACTGAAAAGGAATAGGATTCACCACTCCTCTCGATCCACCGTCGTCGCCGCCAAAATCAAAATTCTTATTTCCACCCAAAGGAAATCCCGAGCTCCTCCTTCGAAATGCCTTTTCCGCTGCCAATGCCGCGCCTGCAGCTCCAAAATTCGAATCCCGTACTACCTTGTAAGCAGTAAATCGTGGTTCTGGAAATGTGATTTCATTGCGTAATTTTTCTTTGCCATCCGGTACGCGGTTGGCGAAGACGACACGGATACTTTTGTATAGATAGTAGCGACCTCGAGTTGGAGAACAAATATGAATATGGACGAGATAGCGGAGGGTAGGTCTTTCGGCGAGTGGATCGATGGTTGGTGCTAATAAATGAGGCGAGGAGGAAAGTGCCAAATCAATTATCGGCCCAGCAGAGTAGCTACGCTGACGAATGAATGTCTTTGTGCCCGGTTCCATACCCTTCAGATCATATGGGACGAGAAATAATTTGACAGCTGTTTTGTTAGGATTCTTGATGATTATTTGTAATTGGCCCTTTTCGGGAATACGATAGCTACCTCCAGGCGGTGCCCGCGGGGAAGTTGATCGACGTTTTTGCTTTTCTGCCCTACGTAACTCTCGTTCTGAAACTTGTCCTGAATTTTGAGGGTCGGGGTCAAAATCGTCCATATGTGTTCGGTCTAGGGTAGCATTTCTCCTCCTCTTTTGACTATCCTTCGCTTTTTCAGGACTTGGTAGCCCATTTTCTAGATCAATACAACCAACGTACGGACTAGGCCCATCTTCAGACTTTCCTCTTCGACCATGGTTTGTGGATTCATAGTCATAAAATACTGCTGGAAAGGGCAAGGTCACATGGGGTGGACATTTCAGACTCGATTTACATTTTCCGAAACCCAGCACCCCTATCTGAGCAACAAAGTCAAGTGGTTTTGAAGGCGTAGTAGACATTCGTCCCCGGAGAATACTCTCTTCGTATGAACCGACCATTGAAGCATGCAAAGGTGATACGTCAGAAAATGAAGGTCTTCTTGACCGGGAGAAAATCGGTGTTTGCGGGGAAGAAGTCGAGTGTGGCATCGTGTTAGAGGCGAGGGGTTTCCTAGGTTGATGGGCTTGGTAGGCGTATGCATTATCTCTTCTGAGACTCGGTAGAGGTCTGTTGGATGAAGCGGACGTCGGTATAGAAGGATTTGAATGTATTGAATGTAAAGTTTGTGAAGTATGACGTCTTGAATTAGTTCTGGGTGTTCCAGGACTAATGTCTATTGGATTTAAATGGGAACTAAATTCTAAATCGTCATTGCTTTCTGATTGTACTAAAGGACTTGTTGGTGCTTTGAGTACAAAGCTCGAAGAGAATGAGGAGGATAATGATGGGGCACGAGTCCTTGACCCCAGATCTGGATCGAGTCTATCCACCGATGGAAACCGAGGATCGAGTTGAAAAGGGGTAAAGTTTCGCGGAGGAGATGTAGCAAGCCATGGTAAATTTCCTGTGCCAAAATTCTTTAAATTCTGTCCTAAACCACCAGATATGTGTTGTGGCCCATCTGTAAAATCCCCACTGTGTAAAGCGGATCTTGGTCGTTCAATTTCTAGACCAGCTTGAGATATCTGTTTATCTACCGAAGAGGGTCTCACAATATTGGATATTTCGGCAGATGGCAATAGAGGAGATGAGTTCGTTTGATTCGGAGAGGTCTTTCGAGGAGGAGTTTTCGCGCTCTGGCCACAAAGTAGGGACTCAAACTGTATTCACCGTCAATACAACATGGCAAGAACCAGCGTTTGATGATTCACATACATTGTAATTCGGTAACCAACTTGGAATTTCGCCCCTTTTCAACCTCTCCATAAACTCTCCTCTATCCGATGTGCCATTGCATAAATTGAAGCTTGGATCCAACCCCAAAGTCGGTAGATGTTTTGATTCCTCTGGAGTGTCTGGCACAGGGCCTTCACATAAATCCGTCCTAATGCTTTCCTCACTATCTTTCCTCACAATCGTTCTTCTCCACGGTGGCGTCATAGAGGGAGGTGACATTTTGGATTTTGGAATGGGTAAAATCTCTCGGCCGTCGCCGAGGTCATCTTGAAAAATGGGCATGATGAACGGGTGTATGAATGGAGCCTTTGATTCTGCTCCTTTTCGTATGGTTACGAGGGCATTTTAAGTTAATTTCGAAATAATCCGGATAGGAAGTGAGGCTTTATGGGCAAAAGTATTGGAGGAATGATGTCGTAAACGAAGCGGGGACGAGCGTTCCTATTCCTTTGTCCCTGCCGATGTGGTGTAGCATTGTATGCAGGAGCTTGTGCAGAGTACAAATGAAAGAAAGGATAAGATGATGATCTGATGTTTGATAGGAATACATATATGCAAGCAAAGACCAAAGAGGATTTTAAACCATTTTAGGTAATAGTTAAGAATGCAACGATGCAATATAAAGTCATGTGTATTAGTTATGTATGCATGTTTGTTTGTACTAGAAACGAATGTGTATAAGAAGACAAGAAGATAACAATCTTTATTATGCTATACTACGTATGATACCTAGGTATGATGACCTGATAACATTCCTAGACAGGTACACTATAACTTCCTACCTGCACCAATTCCCACTATTCTGCCGTTAATTGGTTCTAGCGTGTCCGGGTGTCATGTCATGCGAGTTGGGGTGCTGAGCAAATTCCTGCGGGCTGTACCCACTAAAATTTTCTCAAGCACAAGACCCTTCCAATTTAATTCATTCCACCAAAACCAAAGCCATTACCACGTCCTCGATCCTCGTATCTCCATTCCAATATCAGAACACGTTTGTCTCAACAAATTTCACAATGGCCCCCAGCAAACGCCCCCGCGAAGAAGATACCACTTCACGCTCAACCACCAAAAAGCCTCGCCATGGCTTCAAGGTTGGTCCTGACAATTTGCCTGATGGAACTTGGCGTCGGAAGGTTATTGCGATCAAGAAAGATTTAATTCATAAGGCGAAGGTCAAGAAGGCATATGCGAAATTGAAGGCGAAGGAACCGGTGAAGGAGGATAGGAATTTATATGTCGAGAATAAGGAAAAGGAAGACGAGTTAGAAAGGAATGAGGAAGGTGAGGACCTTGCCGAAGGAGAAGAAGCAGTCGAGCTACATCCGCAAAGAAAAGCTATGCTTGACGAGCCGGAAGCCGACACCGCTGCCAAAAGCGTTCCACGTTATTCGAGCAATTCTGAAGATGTGAAGGACAAGAGGAGGGAAAGAGGTGAAAAGAGAGGGACAAAGCCGGCATATTTTGCAAAAGAATTAGCGTTTGCAGAAAAACAAAAGGCGGAACAGATGGCCAAAAGAGCGGAATTTGAGAGAAAGGAAAGGGAGAAGAAGGCTAAGATTGAGGAGAGGGAGAGATTTAGAAGGCAAATGGCTAAGGCTAGGAGCGGGGGCAAGAACGGTCAGAGGAAATTAGGGAGGGAGAGCCAGGTTTTATTGGAGAAGGTCAAGAAGGTTGTTGGTAATTGAGATCATGGTGATAATATGGGATCGGAAAGGGAGTGCAGGAGGCTTAATGTTCGAAAGGCAATACAGGGTTCACATATTAATGGATTTTAAGGCGGATGCAGATAGCGAGGGAGAGATTGATGAGACTTACGATACCCATGAAAGTCATCGCAGATGAACTGCGCAGAGACTTCTTCTCTAGGTTTATGGAGTTATGTCCGATGCTCCTAACAAGCGTTTGCGCTGTGGCGTTTGGTTGAAGGCACATTCAGTCTCCTATATCAAATAGAGGTTTGGGATTATACCTTCACGGAAATTTGCAATTTAGATTGACAGGATATATCATTAAATCATCGCTATACTGTATGCTGTGTACTTTACTGTACTATCCTACGATTCATGTATTCCTCCAGGTGTCATGGGCAAATTCCGCATTTCTCCTTCCTTCCATCCTAATCTACTTACTCGGTCGATTCAGTACTTTCGTCATTCCTTCCTCAAATTCTTCCTTGGAATCTTCTTTCTCCTTGATTTTCTCCTCGAGTCTTTGGATCTCGATCATATTGTCCGCTTGGCTCTTCAAAGCATCTCTCATAATGATCAGGTTCTCAATATCCGAATCGACGACAACAATTCTTTTTTCCGTGTCTGCTTTCTCTCTTCTGGATTCCAGTAAATTTGTTTGCAGATTGGAAATATCTGAGCTGGCTTGTTCCAGCTTCTTCTGTAGGATTGCCTTTAGAATGGTGTCGTCAGTCTCGATACCATCTGTAGGACTCGATTGAGATGAATGTGAATTATCTACTATTTGCTCATCTGACGTTGCAAAATTGTCGGCAATGAGCGTCGATGTAGCCGAAATGTTAGAATTGGTTGGACTTGTTCGCGACGGTTGCGGAACATCCATTGTCTCATCTGATATTATGGAATCATCCTCCATGAGCGAAGGTGTCTGTGACAAGCGAAATTCGGTCGCACCCGTATCTGACGAGACGACAGTTGGCTCCTCTCGTCTCGTGGTTATTCCTGGTCGATGAGTTCTATAATTCGAAACGAACATGCTGTTTTCATCGCCGGTGTAGCCTGCGACATTCTGACTGTCTGCAAAGCTCCGACGCTGGGGAGTTTCAGGGCCAAACAACCCGAGGGTTTCTTCAGCTGTATCCAAGATAGGAGTCGATCCCCTGTCCGGCGCCTGTTCAATCGACCGCCTGGCTCGCTTTGCTGGTCGTTGATAGATAGGTGAAGTTGGTGCAGGGAGTGCAGGGAGCTTCATTTGCTGTGCAGCTTCGAACAAAAATGGTCCGCCGGGTGGGCTAGGGCTGACTGAAGGCTCAGGAGTTCCAGATACTCGATTGTATGAAGTGAATTTCTCACCAGTAGATGGTATGATTAATTCTAGGGGGTGATCATCCGCGTTCTTCGCTGTATAGTCTTTCTCCCTGTACCTGCTCTTTTTGTATGTTACCATGTCGGTAGCCGTCTGTGGCTTTTGAACCTTTTTAGGCTGATATTCATCAGGATCGGAACGTCTTTTCTTGCTATTATTCTGCTGGATTGGATAATCTGTGCTCATTACTCCTAGCCTAGCATTGTTTCTCCTTGAGGATAGTCTGATCCGACTGGCAGGGCTTTTTGGACTGGTAGGGTTGGTCTGCTTTGTCGCTGTATTCTTGATGCGTCTATTGAAACTTTGTCTTTCATCATAAGCGAATTCCTGTCGACCATCCTCCTCCCAATATTCACGTTGCTTATGTCGATCATCAGCATATCTAGCTTTATTCATAGCTTCTTCAACTTTGCACCAAAATGTCTCGACTGGCATGCCATACTGGCTGCTTTCCATCTTTTTGATTACCTCACAAAGATGTTCCTTTTGCTCTCTTGATAAAAGCTCCGACGCCTTTGTGGCAGGTACTGCAAGTAACATAACTGCGTCTGGAGCTCTTCGGATGCGTTCAAACGCCATCACTTCTTCATCGACATCCTCTGCCTCGGGAGGCCAATCACGAGCGACAATACTTTGCTTCCTACCCATATGGGACCAATATATCCAACAGTCACGTGCTGAGTGAGTGATACCGAGTCTCATCACGGCTTCGCTAGCTTTATCGAGGATAGCAATAGCATCGAGGTCAGTATTTTGGGAATTCTCCTCGATGATTTGCGTAATGAGAACACATTCGGTCTTTAGGAAGCGTTTCTCTACTTTTAGGCGAGGCTCGTATATCACGATATCATCATGGTCTCTCTCCGTCGTTGAAGAGGGTACTTCATTCGCAGAAATCGTTGAAGACGATGCTTCATTTGCGAGAGTCGTTGAAGAGGCTGCTTCCCCTGTTTGAGCGGCGACCGAAATACTTAGCCGTCTCTGCCTTTCAGCATTTGCATTACTTGTAGCCATCCTCGGCTGAGTATTTCTCGACGTTTGCAGGTGTATATTTCGCAACCGAGTAGCTGGAGTAGGAGTAGCAGCATCGGCGCGTCGAGGACCTCGGGTTGGAGAATGGGTGCGGGTGACCGGATGCCTTTCTCTATACGGCCCTCTCGAATCCATACTTCTAATTTCAGGATAGTAGTCAGCTCTGTTGTCTGTTTTATACTCTTTATGGTAATATGGACAGTTTCCTGCAAAAAAATTAGTCAAGGTTTTCATCATAGGTCTTGGGAGAGAATCATACTTCCTTCATGGCAGTAGCCATTACGCCAGAATTTGCACGCTATATTGCTTCTATTGTATTGGTACATGTCGAAAATTTTGTGATATTGGCTGTTCATATGCTGGAGCTTCCCTACTTCAAAACGAGAAGAGTTTTCTTACTGCGAGTTTTTTTATCGGAAGCGCGAAGCACTCACTCCAGAAAGTGATCGATTGAGTGGTTTGATATGGAAAGTGTAGGAGAAGTCGAACTTGATTATGTTTGGAAGGGAATTGTTGGTTGTATGTGGAAAAGAAGAGGTATTATGAGTACTTAAGTATGTCTCCAGCCCTCGCCTAGCAATAGGGAGACGGTACAAATAATAGATGTATAGATATGTCAAGTAAAAGTAATTACCCTTGACTATTTACAGATATTTATCTTGTAATGTAATGTAGTGTAATGTAGTGTGTGGATGGGAAGAAAAAAAACTTCTAGAGAGGCGGGATGCTCCTTAAATACATCTTGAGACCCTCCACCTAACAATCACAAAACGGTACCAACAGTATAAATTGTAGAGATACACACTAGTGCTCCTGTATACGTCTACAAAACTCGCATCATAGCGAAACAAGTCGTAGAAATCGTATATGCCGTAGTGTACGTTCTAGTGCTCGGGGTATATATTCAATATTTGTATGGTGAAGATGGATTCCTATGAACTGGACAAATCAATGGGAACAAAGTACTAGTGTTTTTAAGGGTCTTTTGGAGACGGTCACTGTGATGGGGGATTTGTCTTGATTGTATTGGTTGTATATTGTGTCGATCGTATTGAACATCCTGACCGTATTGACCGTTGTAAATAACGCGCTAGTGTATACCTATCTGCAACTCTCACATCACGATAAAAAAGAATAATGTAAACTGTATAGGCTGTAGTGGCCGAGAGTTTGAGTTGAGATTTTTCCGAATGAAAAAACTGCTCTATTGATCTGTAGGAGATGGAATCTTCAATATGGTGAATTGCTATCCCCCCTTTTTTGAGACGCATACGAACATTCCACTCACCTTGCGATGATGCACCAGTCTTTCTTTTACTTCTCTATTACAAGTCGGTGCAACTATCTGATATATATTTGTAAGCAATTTAATTTTTCCATCAAATTTGATGATGCCTTGCTAAGACGCTATGCTGATTTGAATTAATCGGGTTAATTTTCTAATAATTGGTTGTAATCTTGTATCATCTGGCTAACTAGCTCGCTAGATCTATCTACACCTTGCTCAACATAAATAAACCAGCTAGTTCTCGGTTCTTGATGCCGAAAAAGACGAATATAGATTGATTTGAAGTTTTGATGGTTCAGAAGGGATTGTATAGATAGGATTATTTTAGCAGTATTGCAGCACTAAATCCATCAAGTCGCACGGCGAACATGGCTCTTGAATATCTTGAAATTAGCTTAGGTACCCAGGATTTTTTTGGTGCAGAACTTTTCGTCTATTGTGATAATGAAACATCCAATTCGAAGTTCCAGAGAAAAGCTGGCCAGGCTAGCCACTGGATCATCGGTTCCTGGATGTTATCGAGGGGAGCGGATTTATGTGGACATATGTCGTTTAGTGATAGAGGATTCAACGCTTGATGTCTTGGAGGAGGTGTAGGAGGTTGGATCACCGTTGGTGAAATCATACATCTCCTATATCTAGTAATCCATGCAAGCAAGCGAATCCAGAGAATCCGGAAATGGAGAAAATGCAGCTCCTCTTACGCAATCTTGCATAGGATGAATAAAATAATCTCTTCTCGTAGTACTCTTCATTCTAATGAGGGGCGCGTACGAGCATAGAAAATCACCCTCGCGAATCAGATAGGCGTACCTTCGTTCGTTATAGTATTTTATATAGATACCTAACTGTCATAAAGAAATAAATTATCTACACTATGCGCTAAAGAGTAATCTAGGTTTGCCAGTAATAGTAGAAACAACCTACAATATGTCGAAAAATATCTAAAAAAGCTCCATCTTATCATCCACGCAGAGCTAAAATCAGTAAAAAAATGCAAACGCGTGGTAATTATGGCAGCTACATGAATAATTCTCAACGACGATGAAGATATATAAACATCGACAAATATTCATATACAAAAGTCTAATAGTAATAGTAACCATCCTTCATCCTATCCTCGTTGAGATCCTCAACCTATGACGTAGAAGAGTAGGTTCCTATAACACTCACCAAATCAACCCTTCAATATTAAGCATAACCTAATCCTACCAAAGCCATCTCCAAAAATTCTAGTAACTCACATATGCACTCGATTTCCCAAATCCCAGTAATAACCAATTTCTACAGCGGATTATCCAGCAATTCCTTAACCAAAGCGCTTCCATTACTTTGTTACAGACGATCCCCTGACGAAGCTAAGATCTAGCTATTAATTTCCCTCACAAATAACAATACAGACAATAAAATCATAAATTGTGAACAGTAGGTATTCATATAAATCAAGTCTACAGCGAAATTTTAAATCTTGGGGACTGAGTGGAGAATTGGTTCGAGAGCATTCCAATTACTACCTATGTACGTACTTTCGTCATCTTGGGTTTTGGCTAGAAGTCTTGGCGAATGGGTCTCGATTCCACCAAAGATTAGGATTTAAGAATTAATCAGTGTAAAAAATTCCATAAATGAAAATAAACCCAGAAGGAGATAGTATTGGTGTATTTGGGCAATTAGGATGAGTTATATAGTTTGATAGAGACAGCGAAAAGTGAAAGCTAAATTAGCTAGCAATATTTATATATACAGTGATCGGTAGAGCTCCTCGACGGTGAAAAAGTCCCGGTCTCGATATTCATGTTTGTCACTCATCTCATGTACGTCTATCACCACGATCTAAAGTTAGAATTTCAGTAATCAGTACATTTACATTTACATTCACATATAAACATCCCTCACATCAACATGCCGCAAATCACGTTGTCCACTCATTGAATATTGTTTAAAAAAAATAGATCCACGCATAATTATAATCCACACCCCTCCCGCGCAGAAAAAGACAACGAAGTATTATATATCAGTACCTAACCGTATGCAAAAATTTCACGAATCCACGGCAAACCCAGGGTCTAAAAATAAACGAAACAAACGCATCGAGAAATCCATCCTTCAAAACAGGGGACCAAATACATTTTTACGATCCATGTATAACCATTAGTAACAATTTCTCCCCAAACATCTTCTATTCCTGTAGGAATTAGCTCCTCTCTCTGCGTATAACTCTTGCTGTGTATATGATCCTCTCTGAGAGAGCTGTGGAAATCGAATTGTGCTGTGGAGTTTTTGGTGTTGTTGAAGCTTAGGATATGTATTCTTGAATACATCGATTCGCTAGAAAGATCCAGACTAAAGAAGAAGATTTGATTTGCTGGATGCGAAAGAAAAATGCTACGCTATGAATCCACGATGATACTGGAATTTCGAGTAATTGTAAATTCGTAGAGATCAGTGGAGAGATACACCTCACTACGACGAAAGTGACAAGCGCAACCATTGAGAGCTGAGGATTTCCGACAAGAAAATTAGATTGCTGCATAGCGCTTGGCACAAGCAGTAGCATCATGCACAACCTGGCCATTGTAAAGATCCAAGTTCAATTTCCGTGCAACATTTGTCCATTTCTCAGCCTCGACTTGCTTCACGATATCGACCAATCTATCCTCAGCTTCGGCAGTCCACCCGGCTTTGCTAGTTGACGATCCGTGTTTTGCAGCACCGCTGGCCTTTCTACGTTCACTCAGAGGAACAAATTTGAGACCCTGTGTGGCGAATAGAATAGGCGCGGTACGGTTGTAGCGTCCGTTGACACCACAGACGGTAAGACCTGGTTTTTTTCCGGCCGATACCCGCTTTGCGTTGAGAAGCTCGGCGATCTCAGCGAAGGATTTGCCCTCGTTCTCTTTCATGTTGACAATGGCAACGTTCTCCGGATCATTTGCACCATAGCTTCTCTTGCCAACCTTTTCTCCCGGTGGAGGACGTCGGAGACCTCTCTTCTTGAGATGTGCATCCGAGACTGTATCCTGATCAACCAATACAGGCTGTTGATTAATACCCCACGGCATAGTAGCTCCAGAGTATCTTGATGGAGCCAAATCCTCACCTGGATTATTAAAAAAGATGCGAGGCTTGCCTGAATCTCTACCACGTCGGGCCATGGCTGGGTGGGAATGAAGAGCACCCTTGGATACCGTGGCGTTTGTGGTTTGTCGTATATTTGAAGAATGTAGAACACAAGCACGATTTTTTTCGACACGATTTGGACGGCGAGAACCAGGCTCTGAAACAAACATGTACTCGTCTTCATCCCCATCGTATTCCTCAACTTCGGCCATGGATGTATCATAATCAGGACTTTCATCCTGATGATATCTAGCCTGCTCATAGTATTCATCCTCATCCATGTTACTATCTTGGTAGTCGGAAGTTTCAAGAGTTGCACCCTCGTTGTCACTCACTTCGGCAAATGGTCCGTGAGCGCGTCGCAAAGTTTGCTTGACAACTCGACCTTTGACAGCAGGAGTAGTTGGAAAAATAGGGAAGGGAGGCTTTGGAAGACCTGATGTAATTGTGGCTCGCTGAAATTGACGGGGGCCGTAACTGTCATTTTCATGGGTATCATCCATTTTGGCGAAATCATCGCCACTATCACCGTTTGGCCGAGACTGATCCCGAATGTTGCGTTCGTTTCTGCCATTGCGCTGTTCCTGTAGGAATCGATTGGCAATACGACGATCATTTCGACTCGCAGATGGACTATCAAAATCACTGATACTACCTTCGCAGCCGCGGATCATCTCAGAAGGATGCGTTGAGTTAAGATATCCGTCATCGCTCTGATCTTCAAAAGGGTAGGAATAGTGGCGGGGATCTACTCTGACACGTCCGGTAATGTTGTCATGACCCTCGTTGCCATTTTCATTGTGCTGTTGGAACTGGCCCATTAAACGACGGCCTTCTCCATCACTGATTTTCGATTTATTCGCATTGCGACCAGTCTTCCGACCAGCAGGTGAGCCCTCAGAATTAACAGTATTGGAGTGTTTGGTTGAAGCGTTGACGACACCAGTTGCGGCTTTACTAATGTTCATGTATGCTAGTGAAATGTCAGCTACGAAGATTGAATTTTGCCAACCATCACAAAATAAATGAGGTTATAAGATTGTAAGTGGACCAGCCACGACATTGTGCGCTTCTGCCAAATCTCAAGGACTGATTTTGAGTTTGACCAGGAGTAGCTCTATCGATGATGAAAAGCTAGGAGTAAATCCACATATAGAAAATTTATCATGGCATGAAATTAGCCAGATGATAGACTAGAGGCACAAGTAATCCTCCACTACAGATGGGATGAAGGCGAGGATCAGTGCTGACTGGGCCAAGAGTGATGTCCAGAGAGTGTTAAACACTTATTATTGAAAGCCCTAAATAAATTAAAATATCACGATCTACACAGATGAATGCAAGAGAAGCGGGGGAGACAATGGCAGTATATGACAAAGACAAAACGTGTGGTAGTAGACTGGAAACAGTGAAAATTACCATTTTGATAATGTCCATCGGGATCGAAGCCACCGCATCCATGCTCTTCCAATGCCAAATCTTGCTCCATGATGCGTGGATCGATAGGTGATTGTGCCTGTGAGGTTTTATTGTCGGAGGGAGGTTGCGCGGTGGTTGGTGGAGTTTGCGACATGGTGATGACAGGGGAGAGCGCAATATTTGAAGGAAAATCAGTTTGACACTGGCTTGTTTCAGTCATTTTGATTGTCTGCTTAAAGATTTAGTATCAATCTAGATAATAAACGTGTCGTCAAAATAAAACGAAAGTATGATTAGAAAGGCAGTGTCGGAAAGAACCCAGAGGTTGGAAGTTGTTGTGATTGTTGTTGTTGTTTTGTTGTTGATAAAAAGTACTTATTTGCAGTAAGATAACTCTTATGTAGACAGGTTTGAGCTGCCAAACCACGCTAGTCAACAATGCAACTGAGTTTTTCAATAATCAATTCTTTTGATGGAGAACAAATGGCCAAATGGGGAATAAGACTCCGTGAATATATTCACTGAAGGCGGGGAAAGTAAAAAGCTTCAGATTAAACATGCTTGTGGAAGAAGAGTTGATAGTATGGCTCCCTTGCACTATAAACATAAACATAGCTCAAGAAGTGTTCGAGGCTACTATAAGAACCAAACGAGAAGCAGAGAATTTACAATGCCGTACCTTAACCACGTGAACGGGCTAGAAGCTTCGATTATTCAGATTTAAAAAAGCGGATATAAAAACATCATTTTCGAACACTTTGAAAATTAGAGCAGCACAGCAATGAAATCAACTGTAACCATATTTTGAATAGATAACCAGGTGCAAAGGTTATGTAGGTAAAGGCTAAGAATTTGCAATGCTAGGAACAAATTATCCTCAAAATGATTGAAGAATGACATACCTTTGGCGGATTAGAGAATACAGGATAATCAGCACCGGGTAACATGATCCTAACACGGCAAGAACTCATTTTGGGGCTTATTGAATAATGAATTCCGCTCTATAAACTTAGGAAAAGTCTTGGAAGCTTCGCTGTGATGCATCACAAAGCTTTTTGGAGGGGAGTTGATGGAAGGCGAGGCCTGTTTTAATGCTAGGTCAGTCGTAACTTTTTGTGCCGAGAAATAGTTGTCAAGGAAGAAACTTAAAGGACGGCATGGCTATAATTGTGCTAGTGATAAAGGGAGGTATGCTACGACACAACTTGCCATTCGTAGAGAGTGATGTTTCTTTCAAATCATACCCTGAAAGCGTATACCTAAATTGAGCCCTAATTCATAGTCCGTGAATTAAAAACATGTTTCCGTCTGAGAAGTAGCTAGAAAGCCCTGCACATTAGTAAATCATTCACTCGTGGTCACGAGTAGATCGATGTGCTCATGAACATCCACAGTCAGGAATTTAAGGTGACAATGACAATAAATCAATTATCGCTGTCCTAGTCCAGTTCCATAGTCGTCTGTAGTGTCATCGGGGAAAGTATATATTGAATCTGCATTATCAGGATGAGTTAATACCTCAGCTAATATGGAAAAAAGCATTCATGAAGTATTGTTGTTTGCCCCATAGATTCTCGGTAATGCAGGTTTCTATCTGGAATAATATATAGGAAAGCAAAAAAAGAAAAGCCTGCCTCCGCAGATGTTGCCTGGCACTTGGAAGGGATGGTGAATGAATCTTGAATCCTTGAAAGAATGAATCAAGTCTTCAGTACTCAAAAAGCGCACACACAAGTTACAAAAGATCAGGTAATATTATTGAATACCAATGTATACAAGAATGTCTGCCTCGAAAATCACAATGAATGTATGCTGTCCAACATACTGAGGCTGCCCTTTAGCATCAATCAAGAAACGTCTTTTTTACCGTATAACATTGTGATTGTGCCAAACATGCTAATAATTTGGCAAATATCAAGCAAGCACGAAATGCTTCCAATTTTCTGCCAATCTAGTCACACCATCTACAAGGCCCCAGCCTTTAATCTCACAGATCTTCCGACACATGTCCTCTAGCATATTATCCATTTTTTCACCGGCAATGTGGAGGTCACTCTCAACGAGAACGCGGTCACCGGGCACAGCTTTAATGACTTCAATTGCTTTAGCACTAGCTGGTGAGGACATATTGATGGCTGCTGAGAACGAAAAATATATCTCAGCGGGAACTGAAGGGTGATAGTATTGTTTAAGGGTATCTGGAGGTCCAGAATATGAATGGAGGCAAATACGCGGAGGAAATGGGTTCAATATCTCATCTTTTGTATCCTCCTCATCATCCGTTCCATCTAACGGGGATGCTACCTCAGCAGTCTTTTTCTTCTCTCGTTTGCTAAGGACCTTTCGCTCATGGCCCTTCCAAGTTTCCTGCAACGTGTCAAATAGGACACCATGGGCTTGCACACCATGGACAGATACAGATCGCTGCATTTCACCTGCAAGCTTCAACTGCGCCTTAAGAATCACCTTTTGATGGTCCATCTGGACTCTGTATGGCGTAAGACGTCGACCTTCTCTTCCACCAGAGGTGAGGCCTGCATCTCGAGACTCTTCGGCATCCTCAGACCACTCTGCGGGCAAGCGAAATTGCTTGTCTAGGCCAACCTCCCCTACTAATGCTAACGGATACCTCAAAAGATACTCTTTCGTTTGACGAAGAAATTGCCTGAGTGATCGAGGAGGTGGTAATGATACCAGAAGTTGTTTGTCGTCTGGTTTTGGCGTCAGGACCTTTTCATAGTGATCAATCTTAAATTTTTCTGTATTAAGCAGAGATGAATCAAGCGAGTCTTCGGTGTCATCGAAAATTTGGTATGAGAACCAAGGATGCCACCCAAAACAAGGGATCATGCATTCCGTATTTGGATGATTGTTGGATTGCAGTTTTTTCAGGCCATAAATATCAGCCACTTGGGCAACGAGCTCTTGATCTTGTGCTCTAGTCGCCATGACAGTAAGAACCCTTGACTTCATTGAAGGCATAGATTGGACAGAATCCATGGTATCTGTTGGATGGCAATGGGCATCATAAACACCAATATGCCAAGGGAAGTCGTCATTTTCGGCCATTTCAGATGTGGCCACTAAAGTAGATTTGTCGAAGGGAAGAGGATGAGACAGCCTCCAGTCTTCCTCATGAATTTATGCTCTACTCCGTACGCAGAAATTCCTGTGTAGCTTGACAAGTGAGGTCAAAAGAAACAGTAGATCAACATGATCTACCATTCAGATGGGTCACAAAGTGGACCGAGCTTCAGCGGCCGCATTACCCACATGGATGCAATCCGCAAGCAAATCACCCCACACATTTCACATGTAAATTACCTACCTACCTACCTACCTAGCCTAGTATGTCAATAACAAAGCCTCATCATAAATGAGCTTCAACTTTTCAATTGGAAAAGAACTTCATTCAATCCACTTTTCCACGCTGACGTGTTCTGGCATTTAATTTTTTAGTCAAAACCATGAAGTTATTCAGTGCCTTTTACGCCACAATCTTACCTTTTCTTTTCTTCTTCACAGTTCCTATCGCAATATTCGCATCCATCACTACCACTTTGGCTTTTTGCATCCTGTGCTTTCGAGTCGTTATCGTATACATTGAACTCGCGCTCGCTGTCATTCCATACTATCTTTGTGGCCCTAAAGATGATATCAAAGTCTCACAGTCCAAAAGGGCAATCTACAACCCTCCAACATCAGCCTCTCGACGTAAGAAACGAAGAAGCAGCGCTAGCAGCAGTCAATCAGCCTCTGGCTCAATCACACCAGTACCAGCTCGCATTTTAAAGGGCTCGGAGTCGATGCTTGGGTTAGGCCAAAGTGTTGGAATCACTAGAGACTATGAGGGCGTAGGTGGATGGCGTCTCGACGACAGCGGTTCTGATGATGATGCGCTGTGGACAAATATGAACTCTAGACTAGAATTACCTGCGAATCATGGAAGGAGACATCATCAGAGATCTTCGACATCCAGTAGTCTGCCTTCAGAAGAGCTGAAAAGTCGTGGCCCAGAGGCGATAATGAATACGTCAAAGGCTAGAACCCCAACTTCAATAGGATTGGGTTTTGGAGGAGAGAGTTACTTTTCAACAATGACTCCAAGTCCGAAAACTAAGAAGAAACCGTCTTTTGGGTCTGCGTCTGGATCCCCTACAAGTTCGAAGGCTAGTTCTGTTGTGAATATGAAGCAGATATGAGGCATTGGAGTTGACTTATTACAATTTATGATGGAATAACGGTAAACAGCACGTATTTCTGGCGTTCTTAATTTGGAGCTTTATACTATCCTATAATGTGAACAGTAGCCCATCATAGTGGGATCCTCGGACTTGTTGGTATTTAAATGAAGCATTAGGCTGGCTTTTATATACGTCAAAATTAGCGGCTTTCAAAAATTACAACCATTTGTATCCGAAGTACAGTCAGAGCAATTGGAAGACCTATAGGGTACCCCTTAAACTTTGAATCATGGATCAGGAAGGCGTTCGGCTTCTAGGCAACATATATGTGACGATGTTTATACATTGGAACTATGGCTCATAATTTCATGCAGCTCCTATGCCTGCTAACCGTGGTATCAACTGAACCTCATCTGCAAGCCAGTGCAAGAATCCTAGCACCGAAACTCCAATCAAACTCCCAAATTCTTTCCGAATCATCCATCAAACCCTCCAAGTAATCTCTACAAAGTCTGCCAAAAGTAATTCGCGTAGAAAAACTTCGAGAACTTGTTGTCCATGTTCACCACATGCACATCTCCCTTCTTTCCATTTCGAATAATAGCCTTAGAGTATTCTCCACTCTCTCTATCTCTCTCAATGTCGATCCCCAACCCTCTATAGACTTTTAGTTTGAGACTAATTTCGTCATCCACCTGGCCTCTCTTAACATTCTCCCCTCCTTCCATCCCCTGCTGTTCTAATTCTTGCAATCGAGCCTGAAGATCTGCAAGCTGTGAAGAGAGACGTTCGGATTCTATCTCCAAGTCACTGGCTGCTTTTGCGATGCGGAACTTTTGTGTATCGAGAGTTGCTATTTCGGAGGCGTGTGCTGTGGGGGAGTGGGCGGAAACGGTTTCAAGATGATTATTATTTAGAGTGTTTAGATTCCTCGATAATTCTGGGTGGTATTAGTATACGATGTTAATTTTCAATGACAGAATTAGTGGCTCACTTTTCAATGCGCTCTCCGCTTCTCTTATTCGGAGATCTCGAGCTTGTTGTAATGTTGACAGAGATTCATTGATGCGAGCAACAGCGGATTTGTCGGGGACAATGTTAAAATTTCCAATTGTATGACGGATGAGAGTTGCCGGATCTTCATCGAGAAGCATTTTGTGTATATTTTGAGTGTCAAATGTGGAATTTATTTGTTATAGGTTTGGAAATGTGATGGTGAAGCAGAGGTGTGGTGTCAAGCTTCAAAGTAAACAAACTTTAACGAACCCACTTCTTGGAACGGCAACCAAAAAAAGGCAACAACCTAAAAGTCCCACACGGCCGCGCCACACATGACGCCACAGATTCCCAAGATCAAGCAAACCTAAAGCACCTTCAATCACTTCAATTAAATAGCTTCATATCGCAACTTCCAATTTTTTTTTTTTTGAAGAATAATAAATTTGAGGAAATAATTGAAAATGAGTGGCGGACTTCCATGTAAGTACAAATATGGCTACTGAAATATTGGATACTAGGCTGCATACCCTTTTTACAATATTCCTTTACACCTTCCGCCTCGAATCAGTGATGCTAATGAATCTGGCTATACTAGATGCTGCGGATGCCGAAAGGTTAGTTTTGTTTGAGGGAACAATCGCGAGGTTTTAAAACGCTGAGACTAATAAGATATTAGCCCTTTAAAAGCTGCGGAACTTCAGGTTTTGAGAGCACAATATGAGAAAGAAGGCGAGCACGTTGGTGTGCAGACACAGTTCAACTACGCATGGGTTTGTCCATTCTACACTCTCATAGTTTTTATGATCAATCGCTGACAGGGTCAGGGTTTGATCAAATCGAATTCTCGACACGAACAACAAGAAGGAGTTCGACTCCTCTCAGACATATTCCGCATATCCCCAGAACGAAGGAGAGAATGTCTCTACTACCTCGCCCTCGGCAATTACAAATTAGGAAACTACTCAGAAGCACGACGATACAATGATTTGTTAATAGAAAAGGAACCGGAGAATCTACAGGCGAGCAGTCTCAAGGGGTTGATCGACGACAAGGTTGCGAAGGAAGGTTTAATAGGTGTTGCTATTCTTAGTGGGGTTGCTATTGCTGCTGGAGTTGTTGGCTCAATGCTATTCAGAGGTGTGGGTAGAAATAATAGATAATTGGTGGGATTGAAGTCTGAGAAGGTCGGGACAAGGAGAATGAATGTGTTTCTGTATAAATTTGGGGGACTTTGTTTGATATACCATTGGAAGCGAAAGTGCGATCCTACGACATGAGAAATAACTTCACTATTCGTTATGGTTTTTGTTCAATATTGGACTTGAAATGAGTGAATGGATATGTTCCATTTTGTGTTTGTGATTCGTTCTCATCACTCCGTTCAGCATTGACTCTCTCAATCCTGTTTCATTCTCAGCCTCGGAAGCCATGGGAATCATCAAGAATTTTATGGAACTTTCGAACGTGGCAATGTAATATACGTATACAGTCATCCTCCAAGCAAATTAATCTTTTACATTCATTTGAGGTTACATTTGTAAATACGCCTAGGATACAGATTTCTTATCATACTTTTCAGATCTTGAAAAATCTATGGCTAACAACTCCGTATGTTACCGATAGTCTGATATGAAAAGGGACCCAGCATGGCATAGCCTTGCCACCACTCACAGACCCATGTCATATATGACTGAGCCGACCAACTTTTTGCGTCACCGACCCTAATCGCATTGAACCTGTTAGATTTCAATGGTTCAACCTTCGTTTCTTGTCAACTACACAATAACCTTATTAACCTACCACTTTAATAATCTTCAAGAAAATCCCAAAGAGTGACTTTTTCTCCTTCTACCTACATCTCCCATTGCTTGATTAGTTATCAAAGTCAAAATCAAATACAAAAACTAAGTTTGATAAGCACAATACGAAGTTTACTTTCTTTCCCCGCCCAGCCCATCCATACAAATAAATTTCCGATTATCAATCTAACGAGGCAGTTTCCCGAACTGCAGTGCAAGATTACGCCACAACAACTGTGGGTTGATTTGTGCCTTGCGCTGTACACACATATCTCAAAGCAATCACACATAACCACACCGGTTACGATCTCTTCAAACCCCCTGCCAGTAGGGATAAAGGTCAACACACCTCCCCACTCTCATTATAGCATAGTCCAAGTCGAAGCAAGCACGTTTGATTAACCACTCTGGCTTTCCGGGCGCTGCGCACCACCGGCCTGGCATTTTCTCTCGGTCTGACTGCCCTTGGGGCATACCAAACGATCAGAGACGCCATGGCAGATCCCAGAAATACAAGTGGTGGGATTGATAATGGTGGCGGAGGAAGACATTTGGATGCTACCGGTCCTAGGGAAGTGGTTTATTGTCATCAATGTGAGGATGAGTGGTACAAGGATGAACATGGCTTAGTATGTCCAAGGTGTCAAGGAGAGATCATTGAAATAGTAAGTCTGTCCAAAGTTGCCCCTCTTTTCACTCTTCATCCCATCCTTTTCTAATAGTTTCATATAGGTGGATCCAAATAGTGACCCTCGTCGTGGGATGGACAATTTTCGTAATATCTCGCCATTGCGCGATCTTGACGACCACAACCCTTGGGCCGATGACTCAGATCCGGAAGAAGCAGATATTGAGGAACATATTACACGTGGCCCACATGGCTCTGTATTGATATCGCAAACAATAAGAACTAGAAGGCCAGTACCGTTTGGAGGAAACTTCAACACAATTACGGGTGAGATGCGTCGAATGCGGAGCCCAGGTGGCGCTGCAGGAGATGATGACGCAATGCGAGATTTCCAGAGTATACTGGGGAATCTAATGGGTCCTAATTTGAGATCAAGTCGCACCGGTCGATCTGGTAATGACGACTTATTTCCACGCGCTGAGGAATTTCACACTGGTGGTGGTGGATCTGGCTTTGGAATGGGTGGCGGTCGAGGACCTCATATTGCCGGTGGTCGTTACACTTTCGAGGGGAGATTTGGAAACGGTCGTTTACGGCCAAGAGATGCAAACAGCCCCCAGGCTCAAGGAGCACCCGTTGAGGATTTGGCTACGTATGTACCCTTTGGTGATCCTTTTGTTAATTTTTATGGGCTGTTGTGCCTAGGCAGAGCTCAACCTTTTCTGCTCCCTACTACATGGAAAAGTTCAGACTATACAAAATCTGGAACGCGGATCTTTTCCTAATCTTCGTCTCCATCTTCGTGCTCGTCTCGCTTAATACCAATTTCCTTTCTATGTTTGCTTAGAACATTCGCTGACCAGACTATCAGACTAATCTCTCATTTGTTTGCTCAAATAGGTGCGGTGCCCGCACCTGGAACACCTGGTGAAGATGACGAGCCTCGCCGCGGTATGCCTTTTCCGGGTGTTGTAGGCTTACCAGGACTTCTTCAAACACTTTTCAGCCACCAAAATGCAGTACATGGCGATGCTGTCTATTCGCAAGAGGCATTCGATCGGATCATGTCTCAGCTGATGGAACAGCATCAACAATCCAACGCGCCTGGCCCTGCCTCTCCGGCCGCCATCTCGGCACTCCCAAAGAAAGCTCTGGACGAAAAGATGCTTGGTCCGGAAGGCAGAGGCGAATGCAGCGTTTGCATGGATGATGTATTTCTTGCTACTGAAGTTGTCGTACTCCCTTGCAAGCACTGGTTTCATGAAGCTTGCGCCAGCGCCTGGCTCAGCGAGCACAACAGCTGTCCTATCTGTCGCAAAGGCATTGAAGCCGAAGAGTCGTCCTCGTCTCGTCATGCCCATACTGCTAGGCCAAGCAATTCAACAACTCCACAATCCGCCAGTTCTCCAAGTAGCCGCCGTGCTCGTCTTTCTCGTCTGAATTCAGAACAAAATGATTTGATGGCCCGAAACGAAGCTCGTTTGGATTTTCTCCGTAATAGTCACTTAACAGGCCCTTCTTCAGCATCTCCTTTATCAGAAAGGAGGGAAGCGGAAAGAATGGAAAGAAGGGAAGCGGAAAGACATGCAGAGAGAGTAGCAGAACAAGCCATTGAAGATAGTATATTTTCTAATTCTTCTCGAAGCGAACACATGCCAGGTATATTTCCAGGTAGCAATGCATCGACACCTACGTCGACATTGCACAGAAGAGATTCGGGCTTAAGTACGGGTACGAACGAGCCACGAAGAGGAATTGGAAGTTCCCGTCAGAGTTCATCGAGAGATAGATCAAGGAGTCGAAGGAGTGAAAGGAGTGAAAGTGATAGCTCAGTTAGGGGAGAGGGAAACGGAAATGGAAATGGGAATGGGAATGGAAATGGGGGGTTTGCTGGATGGTTAAGGGATCGTTGGAGTAGGAGGCAGGAATAATTTGGGTGATATGTTGAAGGATTTGAAATTTTTGGGAAGCGGCTTATGATTCAAAGTGTGGAGGAAGAAGGAAAATAGGAAGATCATGTGCCTAGTGTGATTTTTGAAAACACTTCCATAGTTCTTCCCCCACACTCACCTTACTACGTTACAATATGATACACACAATACTTGAGAGAAAGTAAGCGAGCATGGGTTTTTGAAACTTTTATCATGTATGCTTTTTTTCTTGTAGGATTTTTTTTTTCTCATTTTAGCTAAGGTAGCTTGCTAGGTAGCTGGTAGTCTGAGCGATGATGCTAGGCGTTTTTCTCTTTTTTAAAAACTTATTCTATCTATCTATTTACTTATTGATTGCTTTATTGATTTATTGATTTATTCATTCGTCTTATTTATAGATTTGGATTTGGTCTTGGTCTTGGTCTTGGTCTTGGTCTTTTTTTTTTGAATATAGATTTGTAGAATGGGATTGTAGAATGTAACATGGGATTGTAGAATGGGATTGAGATTTAGGTTTAGAAGATGATGATAATGATTGAGAAGATGAGTATAGAGTGATGGAAATAAATAATGGATGGATGTAAGAAGTAAGATGTAAGATGTATAAAAATAGTAGATGGATGAAGGGTAGGTAGGTACTTAATCTTAGAAAGGTGGTGATGGAATGGAGTTAAGTGAGATCTTGGAAAGTTGAGGAGGTTGGTGGTTGGTGGTTGATGGTTGGGAGGATGACGTAAATATAAGAGGGGAGAAGAGAGGAGAGGGGAGGAGAATATAAGGGAAGAGAGAAGAGTGGGTAGATGGGATAGTAAAGGAAATAAAAGGGAAAAGGAGAACAGAGGAGAATGAAATAAGAATATATTTCATATTGTATTATTTTTATTGAAAAAAAAAAAAATCAAGAATGTTTTTTTATTTTATTTTACTTTTGATATTTTTAATAATTAAACTATGTTTATTCTATTTTAATTCAATTTATTTTATTTAAATATATATACATATTATTAAAAGATTGGGTGGAAGAGGCCTCTATATTGACTATATTACTACGTGTGTAGGCATATTAAGATCTCCTCTTGGTATCCTCGGAGGGGACCAATATGCCTGCTTATGGTTCATCTAATCTAGCCTGTTTAGGTAACCGTATTACTAATCACGACACGTGATTAGTACCGGTAACTTCTATTCCTTTTAACACATATATATATTATATTAAATAATTTCTTGATTTATTTATATTCATAATCAAATTATATTCATATTCAAATTATATTCATATTCCTACCATGTCCTATCCTGCTCCTGTTCCTATTCCTAAAGTATCCTATAATATACCCTACCCTATCCTATGTAATCCATACAAACCCTTACAAAATTACCCCCAATTACAAAATTTTTACTTTTCGCAATCACTTCCTCCATATCCTCCACCTCGCCACCTCTCCACCTTGTCTCTCCTATCCTTTATTTAGGTATTTCGCAACTGAAAACACCTCATACATAATCACTTAAAACCTGGACCCTCGTCCTTGCTACCTGTGATCCATTTTCTCCTTCGCCTATTTTGGTCATTATTTCAATCATGCGTACTATCATCCCGAGGATTTATTAACACAGTCCATTCAACATGAACGGAGCAAAGTATAAAAACAAAAGAAAGAAAACATACCAATATCCCCCTTCGCTCTCACCAATAATGGATCTCTAACTAATTTCTCCGCTCCATCTTCATCTTTTCCAACATCTTGCAACATATTTCCAATCATCATACATTCCAGAAATGCTCGATGATTAAAGACCCACCAAACTTTACTTTCACTCTCGAAGAGTTCATACAGGAGAAAGAAAGCTTTGATAGCTTCATGAGCTGCATCTAAAGTTCCTCGAACATTTGGTGGAACTTCGGGACTTTCGCTTGCGTGAAGTAACATTACATTATGAAAGTAATTACTGGTTAGGAAGAGAGTTTGTCGTACAAGTCGTTTATTAGTTTGTGCTTGTAGGGCAATAGAATCGTGGTCCCAGGAGCGAAAGACATCGGGAAAAGATCGATAAACGGCACGGAATTCGGAGAGGAGTTTTTGTTTTTGGCGGGAGCCAGCACAGATGGGAAGGTCCAGGGAGCGCGGAGAACAAATGCTTTCTTGGACGAGATTGGCGAGAGCCCAGCATCCACGGATATAAGCCATATCGTTGGGATCACTATTAGCGATGGAGCTGGAATCATCGATGAGGTCATCTACGTTGACGTCTGTGTGTGTTGCACTTGGTGGGAGAGAAAGGAGAACAGTAAGAAAAGTATCTTGAAGAAGAACTGCTTGCCAAAGTTTTCGACGTTGTTGCTTGTCAAAGATAGAGGCATTTGGGGTGACGATATTGGGATCGCGATGAAGACCCATAGCGTAAGACTGTCGAATTAGTATACCAGCAAAGGCCCAGCCATCAGAAGCATGATTGTCATTGATGAGGAAATATGTAATGAGAACCATAGCTTGAATTGAACGCATGGAAGCTTTGTTGAGATAAGAACCCATGCGAAGTGACTGGTGAGCTGCAGAAACATAAAATTCGGCAGTTTGTTGTCGTTCTTTTGGTGGAGAATTGTTGACGAATTGAGTTCCTAAAGCCATCATGGAGAATATCATGGCAACTAAAGCAGCATCTGTTCTATCTCTTTCCGACGCTGGTAATGCCCAGAAATGCTCATAGTCTGCATAAAAGGTTTGTCTATGAAGCATAGGATAAACCGGATCGACACATTCAAAGTATCTCTCCATCAAGATGTCTGCTTGGTCCTTGGCTGGTAAGACTGAAATCACTTCTGGGAGTCCACCTTGACATGTCCAATAATTTGCAAAGGGATGCTCAGAGCCAATGCCGAAGACATTCGAGGCTTTAGGGTGTGAATAGGGTACATTAGAAAGCAAACCAGTTGAGGATGCAACGGAGCCTCTAGATGCACTCCTTTCGTTAGGATCTGGTGCTTGTCTTGGCCTTTCGACAATATTGCTTGCCCCAGAACTTAACTTTTTTGGTGGTTTGGTCATACGTCGAGCATTTGCAGTAGATCTATTTGTTTCCCTAAAGATGATGTCAGGGCCATTCAGGAATCTTTTGATTTTAATACTAACTCAAGTATATTGGCTGCTGGGTGATATTCACAATTCGATTGCCGTTTGATACCTATGGCCCATGTCAGTATAAAACACATAACCCAAATGTTGCTTATACTTACATGCAAGGCAATGTGGTCGACCTCGGTCGCACTAAACGTGAATTAGTAACGATTCGTGGAGAAGTATGGGTGAGAAAAATTCATAGATGGTTGTATGAATTTTTAGAAGAAAAATGATAGCCTGGACACGTTAAAGAAGAAGTGAGAGAGGAATGCTTATGTAGAAGAATAAGGTTACATCAGTAATACTACAATGGGGAATATTTCATTCTCGCCCTTATTCTCCGATGTACGTACTTTATAAATGCATGACCGATTAAAAAATGCTTCTAATAGCTGAGAAGAGGAATCATGATATGCCCTCAACTTTGACTAGAAGCACGGAATACAATGCAATGGAGAGTAAAAGCAACTTTGCTGGAAACCTTATGTACACGACATCGATGAAATGAAGTAAATTGAAATGCATGAGTCGAGAAAGATATTACACAAACTAACCTTTGTCTTGCGTTCTACACACTCGACACATGATAATGTAGGTTTATTACGCTTCTGTCTCTTCTTTGGAGGTTCCGCCAATCCGAATCCCTCTTCTGCCTTGATTGAAGCTGTCACTGGGCTGGTTACTGGAGATGCATTGAAAGTTGAATTGGAGACAGTCGGAGAATTGGTTGGAAGGTATGAGATGGCCGCATTATATACAAGTGCAGGGGAGAGAGGCCCAGTTGGTAGCGGTATAGTTCTTTGATCCATTTTAGGAATATATTGATGGGGATTGGGTTGAATTGCAGCTGCACCTTCCTAGATCTGTTCTCCCCTGTTATTCGGTACTTTGGATATCTTGGCTTACAATATAAAATATATCTCCGACGTTGATGATCTTTTCAGGTCGTTGCTGGTTGATGGAAATAAGAAGAATGCGGGCAGATTGGTTATGCGATCGTTCGGGAATATTATTATTCGGGTATGCGGGTGGGTGGATGAGTATACACCGTAGGTAATACTACCTAGATAGGTAAGCTACCTGGGTAATTACTCAATTAATTCACTTCTTCAACAAAACAAAAAGCGGGGAAATCATCATTCGAATCAATTCAGATAGAGAACTTTATTTTATGAATAACAAATACAAATGGATATATTCATGTAATGATATATATTTATATATGATATATGTTTATATATACTCAGATAGGTAAATAAATACCTATAGAAATGTAATCTAAATGTCGTACAGGAATGAATAGTCTCCGAGGCAAAAGTCCCCGATGAGTTGCATGAACTCTCTACCTATTTAGTACACTCCGCTTATGTAATCTACTCCTCCATCCTTTTAGTGCTACTTCACGTCGCGTATTCCACAGACGCGTTGATTCGCGTTTTCGATAAGGAAGTACAATCAATCAATCAATCATTAATGGTTTCATGGAATTTTAGATTCACATTCATTCAATGGAATTTACCTCAACTCCAGATTTACCTCCAACATCCGATCCAGCATTACTAGAAGATTGGGACGATTCATTTGATCCTTTGATCCTACCATCACATCCTAAATCGGACGAGTTTGAAGCATTACATTTGCTTGAAGAGGAGGTTCGGCTTAGAAAAAATAGAGAAAAAGAGGTTATTCAACATAGAGCTTGGAAAGTTACAGAGGCATTTCGAAGTGAGGCGGATCACATCCAGGGTGAGGATCTATCTTTTTGGGAAGATTTTTGGCAGGAGTTTGGACAAAATAGTGCAGATTCTAACGCTATACTTCAGAAACACCAGTCCGAATAAAATCCTCGAAGCATCAACACTCCTTTTTCATATCTTCCTCCCCACCAAATCTCAAAATGCCGTTAATATCTTCACCAATTGAATATCCTCAAAGTTCCTCACCACCTCCATTGAAAAGGCCACATCCAGTCAAAGCCTCGGACCTCAGAAAGCCACTCAAAGTTGGAGGGTTTCTGCTAGATGATGGCTCAGATATTGAGGAGGACTTTGAACAACCTGCGGCTAAGCGACGGATGATCGAGAAAGCAATAGATCCAGTTGTGATACCAGAAGAAAATTCACACAAAGACTTCACAAGCGAATCTGAAATACCACAATTGAGTACTAGACCACGCCAGACTGTTGGTGGATTCATGATATATGATGATGACGAAGAGGACGAGGAAGATTCAGGACTGGAGATTTTGCGAGAGACTCAATTGCTAAAACTTACCTATGGACCCACAACGAATTCCAATGAGGGTAACAGTCATACTTCAACATTCCCAGCCTTTTTGAATAACATAACGACAAAAGCTGCGGATATACAGACATGTTCGGGGAAATCCTTTTCGATAAATCTAAAAAAGAAAAGTGCACCTATATCATTTGAGAAATTGGTTGCAGCAAGATCTGTCACGAAGACCGGACGAGCGAAGAAGAGTTATTATGGGATAAATATACATGAGTTGGTCGAGGAAGCTTCGAAAGAGACGAAGGCAAAAGAATTACAAAAAGAGAAAATTCAGAATGAAATCATACCTTCGATTGAGAACCTTGTTGGGAAGAAACCAAGAAAATCATTGATGTGGACTGAAAAATATCGAGCAAGACATTTCATGGAACTTTGTGGTGATGATCGCACACATCGCCAGGTATTACGATGGCTCAAAGCATGGGATCCTATTGTTTTTCCTAAAGCTGGAAAGCCTAAAGTAGCGCCGACAAAGAAATTTGGGGAAGTAGATGATGAAAAGCCTCATCGCAAGATTTTAATGCTTACAGGACCTCCCGGTCTGGGTAAAACTACTTTAGCGCATGTTTGTGCAAGACAAGCTGGTTACGAAGTTATGGAAATTAATGCTAGTGATGAACGAAGTCGAGATGTGGTTAAAGGCCGGATTCGAACAAGTGTGGGCACGGAAAACGTCAAGACTGGTTCAACTGTTACATCAAAATCTGGGCATGTGTCGAAGAATGCCCACCCACTTTGTGTGGTTGTGGATGAAGTCGATGGAGTCGTAGGCGGTGCCGGTGGATCAGGTGAAGGTGGGTTTATCAAGGCCTTAATAGATCTAATACTTCTTGATCAAAAGAATTCTTCCACGGTCGGCACGAATACCAGTTATTCGAAGAAAAAGAAAGGTGATGATTTTCGACTTCTAAGACCACTAATCTTAATCTGCAACGATGTATATCATCCATCTTTACGACCACTACGTAATTCGAGTTTTGCCGAAGTCATACATATTCGAAAACCACCATTAGATGCTGTTGTTCAGCGAATGCAAACAGTTTTTGAGAAGGAAGGCGTGTCTTGTGATAGCGACGCCATTCGTCAATTATGTGAAGCAACATGGGGAATAAGTCGAATGGATTCCAAGAAAGGGGCTGAAGGAACCGGAGAAGGCGATCTACGTAGTATCATGGTAGTTGGAGAATGGGCAGCAGGGAAACTTAAAACCGAGTCCAAAGGCCAAAGACCTCGCTTAACTCGAAAATGGGTTGAACAAAATATGACCAGTGATCTATCTCATGGTGGAGGTGGTTCTCGCGCCGTTGGACGAGGAGGTATTAAAGAAGTTGTGAATCGTGTCTTTCTCGAGGGAGCCGGCTTCCCTAGACCTACAAGTTTTAAAAACATAATACCAGATGACGAGTTCAATTCAGAGCCCAAAACACAACTTGGTGTTGCTGAGCTTGCTCGAAAGGCAGGAATGGAACGCCTCGGATCCATGATCGAGACTAGCGGCGATACTGATAGGATTATGACTGATATTTTCGGCGAATATCCTAACCAACCTTTCAACGATGATTCTATTCTTTCTAAACCGGACGCTGCATACGAGTGGTTACATTTTCATGATAGTTGTTCATCGCGCGTCTTTTCAGGTCAAGAATGGGAATTAGCTGGTTATCTCACTCAACCTATTCTCGCATGGCATCATCTATTCGCCTCCCCTGCTCGTCATTATTTTCGGTCCGACAACCAACCAACCAAAAAATGGAATAAAAACGATGAAGATGCTGAACCCGAAACGGAGCCCTTACCATTCACTGGCCCTCGTGCTGATTTCTCAGCCTACGAAATGGAAAAATTAAATAGAAGTACAATTCAAGGATTACAAGCTCAACTTAACGCGAAACTTCTAAGGAGTTTTAGAAGTTGCGAGGATATCGCTATGGATTTATTGCCATATGTAGTTAGGATGATAAGTCCAGATGTGAAACCTATCATCGTGGGTGGGAGTGGTGAAACGAAGGGTGTAGCCAGTGTACGCAAAGATACGGAAAAGAAAATGGTTAAGAGAGCTGTGGATATCATGAGTGAGATTGGTGTGGTGTATGAGAGAGGAAGATTAGAGGGTAATGCTTTAACCACGGGAAGATGGGGAGCAAGTGAGTGGGTTTATAGAATGGAACCACCGCTTGATACATTGGTTACTTTCTTGACGTCACCGTCGAAAAGTGATGCTACGAATGTTCGGTATGCGGTGAGACAGGTTCTAGATCAGGAATATCAGAAAAATATTATCGTGAGGGAGAATGCGGCAAGACAGGCGAGGTTTAAAGCGGGAAATTTGGATGGAGGGGATGAGGAATATTCTTTTGAAAAATCAAAATTTGGGAAGGGAAAAAGTGAGAAGAAAGTATTGGGAGTGGGCACAGGGAATGAAATTAGGAAGGATTTCTTTGGGAGGGTGTTGGAAGATAGGGGGGTGGGAGGGAGGGATGGGAATGCCGGGGTGGGAGATAATACGGAAAGTACAAGAGGGAAGGGGAAGGAAGAGAAGAAGGTTTGGGTTACGTTTCATGAGGGGTTTTCGAATGCGGTTAGGAAACCAATTACTATTGCGGAGTTGATGAGGGGGTTGTAGGCTACTAGTTAGGAGTGGGGATTGAATTGGGCTAATACTAATACTTACTTGTAGTATTAGGGTCAGTATTAATTAGTATTAGAAGCCTAAAAGAAGTCCTCCAGTAATGAGTTATGAATATGAATATGAATATCACCTATTGCAAGCTTACTATCCATCACATACACTTAAAACGCAAATGACGAGAAGAAAAACAAAAAATCTTTATCTCCCTCCTTCTGTTCCTCCCTCTTTTTTCGTGTGAAATGAAAACAATATCCTACATCTACCTACCCTCGACCTCAACCCTATTTCTTATCTCAAAAAGAAATTCGCAAACTTGAAATTAATATCTTCCCAATCTCGAGGTCTATCTTAGTTATATCTTAATCTATTGAGTATCGAGTAATCATATCTTTCATCTTTTATTATCATTTCTCTCTGTATTATCCTCCTCGCATCATGATCATGGGAGGTGTATGATATTAATATTAATATAATATAATATTTTTCCTTTCCTTTTACTGCGAAGCATTAACTTCTACTCCAATAATCCCAGTACATATATAAATCCGAATGAAATATTTCAGATAAGTCTAGCACTCTACTTTCCAGTTACCTCTAATTTCGGCTAATTTTTTTTATCAAAAATGACGAAAATGTCACGAACCACGGTTTAGATAATAGTAGTATTATGAGTATCGGTGATTTAGTTGCTGATTATAAGGGGAATGTGATTTAATCGCGGTTTACAAGGGGTTCTTTATCAGCTTCGATAAGGAACTTAGGAATCCTAGGACAAGCGTTCTAGGCAACCACAATGAAACAGGATAAGTGTCCTAGGAGTTCAGGATGAATTAGGATAGTATGCGCTCTAGGATAAAACGTTCTAGGATGATAATTGTCCTAGGACAATTATCCTAGGAGTTAAATTATCTTAGGAGACGAACTGTCCAAGGATTAGTGTCCTGAGGCAGATAGGATCATGTAATAAAGCTTTTGAAAGCGTAGGCTCCTTAGGGCTTTTTAGAGTCTTCAAAAATGCAGACTTTTCAGGGCTTCTGAAAAGGGATCATTATACGGGTCAAGATACACTGACATGGTAACTTGACGTGAAATTTGTACCGTGAGCATCCTTGATGATGGACCAGGCGCTCAAAAAGTGAATAATCAATCAAAGAAAGGACTCAATAAATTTCCGAACCATGGCTGTCTTCCGTGTAAAACTTTATTAATTGTATAGTAGAGCGGAAACCTATGTAAATACTTGCACACTTTGCACAACTCCCTATAAGTTAGTAGTCCCGTTTTTTGCCGGAATTTGGATTGGCTCTTGTATGATTCACACACTTATGCTCCGTGACACTGATTAGGTTTTCCATCATTCCTTGAAGATCTCTGCACTCCATTCAGAATTCGTATATAGGAATTCATTACTATCTCTTTTTGAGGTATTATTCTCCAGAGAAAGTACAGTGGTAACTTCTCATGCTTTGTACGACTCCAGATGCAGATATTGAGTGCGAGTACTATTTATGACAGTGTTTAGTAGCCATCCCAATAGACCGGTAGTGACGAAACTTCTAGCTATAGTAAATTATTCTACTGTATGACGGACTTTCGGCCTTGAAAATCACAGCAACAAAAGATGGTGACAGTGGCAAGTAGTAAGATGGCAGCCAGTATATATCATATAATATGACGAGGCTGATATATCAGATGAGCTAGATGATATAAGCCAATATGAGGTAAGATAAGGTATCAAAACACACCAAAACAGAGCAAAAGCCTAGGAAGAAGTCATTATTTTAATTTTGATTTCCAGCTAGTAGAAGCTATTCTCTCTGGCATGAGCAAATAATCATTCTACAATTTTGCTCCCTCAGAATAATTCGACGTTAGACCTGGAAAACAAAGATCTGAGACCTTTAATGCTGAGAATGGGAGGCCACAGAATAGAGATATCTCCATATTTTGTGGGGTTGCCATAGTGTACGAAGAAGAATGAAGATGCGGAGTATAAGAAACTCAAATAAAGAAACGGCTTGTAAAATTCCTGCGTCAAACGGCATCTTGTGAAGATATCACATCATCGGATTGTGATGTTGCATACATAGTTGCTAATTGAACGACCATATCCGCGAATTTAGAGACTTTGACGCGAGATAGCATTTTCTAGTTGGCGACTCCGATGAGTGATATTAGGTATGTGAAGAAAGGAAATGTCGCCCTCTTCGCTCTTACCCATTTATATATCAGACGACGAAGCCGTGAGCTTTTGAGACACTAGGTTATACTTAGGTTCACACAACTCTCTTTAGCAGTGGCACACTACCGAATATCCTAACGGAAGTCTTTGAATCAAGTATATCCAAGCCAGCTCTGAATAGGTACGTAGGTAAGAACTCCAATTGAATAAGTAAGGAAAATAGATACAACAATTATATATCGCTGATATTAGATTCCGTGGCAGTCTCAATTCTTAGCATCGATGTACATATCAAAAGAAGAACCTAATCAACTAGCCTTCTAGCGATGTCGCCATGAAGTCAAAAGTATCACATAATAGTCTGAAGTTCCGACGAAGGCTAGGAAAAGTCTCTATAATCTTAAGCGTATCATTTCCTCCACGCGTATTGTTCCTAGCAATTTTACAACCGCAACTTTACAAATAATGTTATAAATCGCTTTTCCTAGTCGAGAATGCAGTAAAATCAAAATTAGAGCGAGGAGCAGAAGATGAGGAGGCAAACGAGCTAAAACCGTCTTCCCCCATAAATGAACTAGGAAAGTAGTACACACATATTCATAGAACCAGTCGCACAATTACCAGCATGAGCCCTGTATTGATGTAGACATGCAACATATTCTCTTTGAAAGACTTTGAATGGATAGAATCCGGGATGCTAGTTACGGTAGGTAAATAGCTCAAGGTTAGGTAAACTCTTAGTGTTGTTAGCGTGACCACGCTGATGATCGACGAAATGGTAAAACATCACGGTAGTGGGCACTAGTCAGACTTATTGTATACCCTGCTCAGATAGAGAATTAAATTGTAGAATAACTTATTACAATCTTCTACCTTATTTTCACTACAAGTCATCAGGGCAGAATTTCCACACTTATGGTTTGAAGAACTCTTGAAGCACTTATACTACTGCATTTATCTCTTCATCCTAAACAACATCATGTAGTACCTAGACATCCCTCTTAAGAATTTGGCGACGCGGCGTCACGCAGATTATCTTATCCACGAATATGCGGGGCTCTTATGGAATATCTAGCATGAGGCGATGGAGCTGCCATATCACAGTAGGCTATAGCCAGGGCGAAATGCGAAGTTGCCACGTTGCTATGATTCCCATTCAAAGTTAAGTAAAGACAAATGGGAAATCAGTGTTGTCCTCTTTGATTTGTTCCCATACTGTGGGTTATTGATGAAAAGGTTTCAAACTGGATGATGGCACCGTATGAGGCGAAACTAGTTAGGACGGGCACACAGGTATATTGAAAGAAAATTATGGGCATTGAGTCTCGGGGGCCATAATGAAATGTCATTTCAGGAAGTGTGGTATAGCATTTGATATTGAGCGAGTTGAGTTGAGTATTTCAAGATGACGACCCAAGTTTCCGATCTCTAAAATTTTGTTGCGGCTCGTCCAATCTTTCACATAATTTTTGCGACGACTGTTTCTTTCTCCACACTCCAGATTAGAGTCACGACCAATATCCCTCATCTTCCGGTCCCGCCACTGTTCCTCTCACCTCCGTAGCCTCTTGACATCGCTAGTACAATGTTAGATCATGGTACGGCAATAGATCAGATGGTATTCACCTCGCATAGTCCTTTTGTATCTTCAATCTCCTGTCTCAGGAAGATACCACCGCAGTCATTAGAAGGCTGATTGCATGGAACGTTTATCGAGGGGCTGTGGTGACCACATTCAAATAATCGGATGACTTGATAACACATTGTGATTGCTTGCGACGTGACTTGCGATGATCAAAGAGGCTGATTTATGGTTGTTGTCGATCGTGGTAGCCGATGTATCGTCGTTCGTATGGCGAAGTGGATCTTGTGGAGAAGAAGAGATGAAGATACATTAAATTCCCTCCCAAAGGATGTGTTCTCAGCACAAATCTTGTCATGGGTGGATCAAAGATAGCAAGCAACTTGCTGAAGCGATTGCTCCTCCTCCCGGAATTCACAAGCAAGCGATCCGCTTATTTTCTCTTGTTTGCAGCGTGGGCCACACCTTTGTCGCACTACAGAACGTTTCAATTTTTAACAGCCTTTCCCTTGTGTGTCAAAATGGCTTCCCTTTCATTCCGATTACCACCAGTATAGTGCATCTCAACTTCTAAGCCCCCCAAACCTTCGTCAGCTGCTTTTCGGTTCCACAACATCTGCATAATCTTTCCATCCGCTCCGCACAGTACGTAGCCCATCGGCCATTGACTCCTGCCTAGAGCTTCTCTCACACCTTTGGTAGCTGCTTGCTGCGAGACTAAAAATGCCAATACACTTGATGTTCTCCATCCTTGCGGAGCACCCACAAAAGTCCCTTCTAGTTCCCGAGCTTGAGCTGGCTTTATTTTGGCTGCAAATGCTTTGCACTGTATGAGGACTTTCAAAGGTTGGGGAGCGGTGGGTAATGACCACGTTCCAATTAGATCAATTCCACAATCTGATTTTCCACCAACCTGCCTGAGAGACATGCCTAACCGCTCTAGTGCTTGTTTGGCCATATATTCATAATGAGTTCCTACATATGTAGTACTGTCTGTGTCCATATTGTTGCGTGATGCGTATTCCAGAAAACTGGACAGATCATGATGCTCTGCATTCTGTGAGTCAGGAAATATCAACTCATCCGCTTCATTAGTAGTTTCGGGTGCAGCTGCAGTCGCACCGTTTGCAAAACATCGGCGTAATGATTGCTTTCCCAGTTGCAAGAAACGCCGCTGAGGACGCGCTGAAAACATTGAGATTGATTGTGTTTGTCAGTATCATGTGACTAGCATGATTTTTCACGGGTAGTTCGTCCTATGTGATGCAAAACGGGAGCAGAGACGGACTACCTGCATGCAATTAACCAGCAAGAGGAAAAGCGGTAGCGATAAATATGTATCGTGAGAAAGTTCTATAATTTTTTTGATAGTGATGCACGGAAGCCGGAAATTATGCAAGGCTACGCCGATTGCTTCGGAAAGCTAGGCCCTTTATGGTCAACTCCCCGCAAAGGATTGTCTGCAAGGCTGACATTTGCGCAACCTCCAGAACAACTCTTTGAAATCTATCAACATTTGATCTCGTTTCTCTCCCAACAACGAGTTATGGCCGACCGATTGACCCAACTTCAAGATGCTATTGATGAGGTATAGTTCACTATCGAAAGCATATACTCTTATCTCCTTGCTGACTTCAATTAGCTCGCTCTTCAATTTGTCGCATCGCTCGTATGGGTAAACAAGCACCATGACTACCAAACTCTTAGCCCTACCGACATCGTTCGGAAGGACACCAAGAAAGATGAATCGGGTGAAGCATTGCCAAACGAAGACGGCTGTAAGAATTCCAGCTCTTCCCTTCTCCTGAACTCGACTGATCTCCCTTTGTAGTAGAACCATTACCCGCGGACAAATTCAAAGAAGGCCAGGTGGAATTGGCACGGGATCTTATTGTCAAGGAACAACAAATCGAGGTACTTATAACAGCATTGCCGGGCTTGGAAAATAGCGAAAAAGAGCAACAGCAGACAATTCAACGGTTAGAGCGGGAACTGAAAGAGGAAGAGGAGAGGAGGAAAGAGGCTTTGAAGGAGAAAGAGGCTGTCTTAGCTAGGTTGGAGGGAGTTATAAGGAGTATCAAAAGACCCTGAAACATTCGCCATTCAATCATTTCTTCGAATTTATCTATAAACGCGAGATTTGGCGTTTGGTTGCAGGGAAGGCGTTTGGAAATAGGGAAATGGGTTGTGCTGTGGGGTCAACAAGTGGATTTTCAACAGTAAACAAGTCTGGGCAAACGCGGAAGGCGTAAAGTACCTGTAAGGGGGAAGATTGTCCTAGACTTTTGCTTGGCTTGCATACACAGATATCAATTTAATCAGACTGTGACATGGAGCGCCCTTTTGAAGGAATGGAAGATCAATCCCGCATGAAAAGAATACCATGACACCGGGGAATGTCAAATGAGAGAACTGCGGAACTTTGTAGCTCAGGACAGTCAAGGTATCATTGAAGTTTGGAAAAGAATATCTATTATTCTTGACCTAGTCTATTCTATTAAAGAACAAACTTTTCCTCTCTGTCGTCGCCTTGATTAATGAAAATTATCTTCCGAGGTTGTATTTCATGCGTCTAAGCATATCATCTATCCATTATGTAGTAATGAAGAATTGCGGGTAAACAGTCCTCAACTCTTCTAAAGTGCTGATTTGAAAATTGGCAACTGGCTTAGGAGGTGATTTTACACCTTCCTCAACCAAATGTGCTGCTGTCCAACCAAGTTTATAAGCTGCCTCGCAGTTTATGAGCGAGTCATCTAAAATGTGTAAGTAGTAATGTCGATGAACTCGGATGGATAGAAAACCTACCAACAAAATAACAATCTTTGTACTCCTTCACTCCAGCTTCTTTCATGGCCTTCTCGAAAGATTCCTTGTAAGGTTTGCAAATCATCTTCTCTTGAGCATAATCACAGTACGTCATACCCTCAAAAAGATCCTCTACCCCTAGTAAGCGGACGACACGTCTCCCGTGGGTGACATAAGCATTGGTAAAGAGCCATAACTTGACCTTGGACCGATCAATATCCTCGAGAAGCTTGCGTAGCTTTGGATCCGGTGAGAGAATGTTTTCTAATGGCACGGCATCATCTACTTGACGATTGTATTCTAGAGCATCAATCTTGTGATGACGTACTAAACCTTCGATGGCGAGACCATAGGTTTTGTAGTACTCTTGATGAAGATTGTAGGCCTCTTCTCCACTGAGCTCTAGATGCTTCATGAAATATGCATCGATCAGAGCGGTCATGTGGTCATGGACATTCTTGCCTGAATGTGATGAGTCAGTTGACGTGGTAGAAGTTAATCTGTAGCTGTAGTAATGGCAAGGAAAGGTTCGTACTCTTGGAATATAGCTGTAAGGAGATTAGCAATCATGAAACTATACCACAATATAAATATACGCTTACACAATTATCAATGTCAAAGAAGAACACCGGTCGTGTATCAGCCATTTTGTTGGTGAAGCGAGAATTAAGAGATACGGGTTGAGAGGAAGTAGTAATTGATCTACTTGTCCTAGGAATGGCGTATTTGTAGGTTGTAGTAGGAATTGAGGAAACGGCGCGAGTTCGAGCACACCGGAAGATGCTATACATTGATTAATAAACTAAGAGAAGATGGAGTGGGGAGAGATCGGGTTATGATAATTGTCTAAGGAGTCATTCGGGAAACATCAGTACCGGCTGATCGGGCTTTCATTTCGAGTACTGTACTCCCCATTCAGGTACTAAATTGAACTCCACAGCACACCCTTGTCATGCTATACCAAGTACCCCGACCATATCATACCGTTTGTCGAAGAATTTCTGCTTAGTCACATCAGCTTGCACCTACCAACTTTTAATTTTCTAGCCTTGAACACAATTTCTCGATCTTCTTAAGACATACATACATCCATCCAACTTTGCACTTCAAAGGCTACAACGAGAATTTATTCAAACAACACAACTTGGCAGCTATAGTCAATCTTCATTCCATCTGTTAGGCTTGATACTTGCAGATGCAAGAAGTCAATTTCTTTTATTCTTAATTAGTTTAATTGCTCGCTTTTCTCAATCATGGCCCAAGGGGCTGTTGCTTCTGTGCCGATCAATGGCACAAATGGCGTAACACTGACAACAGAGAATATTCGTGAAATTCGGGAGTACGAAAAGATAATTTCATTTCGAGATGCTGTTCTTGCAGGGACTCATCCTCGTGTCAAAGTTCCTTCACATATTTTAGGAGTGGGAAAGCAGAGCAGTTTGGCTCGTAATAATTCATCACCCAACACATCAGCAGTACGCGCAAATGCGCAAGCAGCCCTCGACTCGGCGCCATCCTCGAATAACCATTCACCAGTCAATTATCGTGCTGCAGCGACAATTGGTCAGCTTACAAAACAGTCTGTACCTACGAGTTCTACTAAACCTGTGAAAACCTCGGAGATTAATCCAATCCTGTTGGAAAAGTCTGATGATCTTATAAAGGCGGAAATACAATTGCAGAGGCAGAGATTGGAAAGAGCTCTTAGGGATCAAATGGACCAACATCGTCTGGCCCAGAAAGCTTTGCTTCAGACATCTGAATCCCTCCCCAATTTTGATCTTACCGAGGTCTTGCAAAAAGCTCTTGCTATAGTTCATCCGGCCACGGCTCCAGAAGTCGAGCCTTCGGTGGGTGCTGGAAGTGATTCGTTTGATGAAAATTCTTTCTATTCTAGTCAGCATGATACCCCAGAGCCATCCAATTCATCGCATAGCCACAAGCCAACCCTTAATGGGCAAGTTCGCGGTGAGGTATCAATTGAAGAGCAAGCAGCACACGCTGATCCTGCCATCAACCAGGTTGAAGACAATGATGTGGTTATGACTGGTAGTTCACTATCCCAAAATAATCATATAGCATCTGAGAGGCATTCACAATCACAGTATCGCCCCCTAGGAATTCAGAACAGACATCCTGCCGAACAACAATCTCCAAATGGTCATCGCGGAAAGGTTACCCAAGAACCGCCATATCCCAGAGGTGTGCAAAGTAGAGTATCTGGCATTGTTGATCTTTCCCAGGATAGTACAGGTTCTGAAAGCGCAGGTTCTCAACAGATGGGTGATCGAGTGGCCCCACCGAAGGCATCCGAAATAGATGTGCAACAACCGCTGAACACCCGAGCCCATAACCTATCTCCCTTAGCACCACAACCTGCCCGAGTGTCACCATTAGCTACTGCAAGAGATCCTCCTATCCTGCGAGATGCCCTCCCTGTCTATGAGGCACAGCCACCTCAGGTTGCTGCACTCCGGAATGCGGCTCCGGGCTTATCAAGTGCAGAGAGTTCCCCTAGTGGGCCAAAGATTTCAGAGAAAAAGAAAGGAAAGAAGAAGAAGCGTAAGGGTAATGATAATGGCCAAACCGATACACCAGATTCTCCATACATTAAAGCAGAACCTCGATCGCCATCTCCCTTCGCTGCTGCCACTTTGCCACGACCACAAAAGAGACAGCGACAGTCAGGTCAATACGCGTCAGAGCTCAACTATGATGAGCCTAGGTATGAGCCACTTGAAGTGATCCCGGAAGCTGCTCCTAAAAGATATGAAGACGCTCGAGCTTCCGTGCGTTACGAAAGTCGATATACAGATCAATACGCAGAAATTCGACGACCAGAGCCTGTGTATCAACGTGTAGAGCGGGATGACGTGGAGTATCAAAGAGTTGAGAGTGGAGGACAGTATACAAGAAGGCAAGCATCTCCAGTTTATGCTTTACCATACTCTCGGCCAATTAGGGAAAGCTCTCATGCCATCGTGGACCGACACATTATCGAGGAACCCAGATTTTACACTGAAAGAGAACGACCTGTATTGTCCAGGATGAGTGTCCGCCCAGATGCTGATCGCGAGAGGTCTCGCTCGCCGATTATGAGAGAAAGAAGATCGCCAATTCCGATGGGACCTCCACGCCAGTCTGTTAGGATTATTGTTGATGCATATGGTCGTGAGTATATTGATCCTACACCTGCACCTTCCATGCGTCAGTCAGTTGCACCAATTGCCAGGCGACATGACGATGGAGAGCTTTATTATGAGCGCGCCCCTGTAAGAACAATGTCTACACGCCCACCGGTAGAAACATTTGAAGAGGATGGAGTCTTGTACAGGAGAGCTTCCCCCATCCTTGCTCCTCCACGACGTGTCATCGCACAACCAGAGTACGCACAACCAGACTATCGTTCATATCGCGAACGGGAATACTCCGTTCGCCCAACCGCAATGGGACCACCAGGCGAAGAATATGTTAGGGTCAGAGCTCAACCCGAACGTCGTCAAGTTAGCCATTACGACGAAGCCCCTCGAGAGTATATTCCCCGACCTCAAAGCGTTCGACCAGAAGCTATCAGGTACGAGGTACCAAGAGAATATGTCGGAAGACTTTCGAGTGTTCGGCCTGAGGCCCCTCTAAGGGAATATCCCGAAGTTCGTCGCGAAGTTATGGCCCCTCCGCGTCGGGAGTTTAGCGTCCGTCCTACGGAAATCATTCCACGTAGTCATCAACCGACAGCGGTAGACGGAGAGAGATATTACGAGGTGGAGAATCAGAGGCCGGCTATAATTGAGCGGCCTCGGGAAAGAGAGGGGTCAGTGTTTGTTTATGCGGATGATGTTCCAAGGAAAGTGTACCGTTGAAAGCTGTGATACTAAATGAAAGCCAAGACCATGTCTAGTGGACCATCTACCGGCCGTCTGTTCCGAGTCGGTTGTGGCTGGTGTTACACTACCGTTCGTGGTGGGGAATCATGCAGTTTTAAGATAACGTAATTATTTTAGGGGGTTTTGTACCTGTGTGTTCAGTCAACAGCAGTCTTGGAATTGGATATCTAGCCTGTAGATCATAATTGCATGCAGAAGCGAGGACTAAATTTATGTTATTGTACTACTATCAAAATCTAGAAATAATCACATAATTGAATTTAATCTATGATCGACGTGAAAGATTCCCATTTCTAGAAGCCGCAATGATGAAAACAAAGTAGGTACTTTAGCAAGCAAAGAAAGCAAAATACCTCAACCAAGAAATAAGTGTAATAAGCCTTTAAAAGTAAAAGTCTGGTCTGGGGTCTAGAACGAAGTTTGAGTCCTAGATGCCTTGATTGATTTTACTAGTTTTCTATAAAAGTACGCAGGTAGGCAGTAGGTAGGTAGGTAAGTATCTACTGTAGTGATTAAATTAGTATAGTGTCCAGGATTTCGGATTTCGGATCTTGAATCTTGGATTGATGGTTGTGAGGTTTGAGGTCTGTGAGTTTGCGATGTAGGGTAGGGGAAGTGTAGATTGTGATATTGGGAGTTTGAGATTTGGGAATTTGAGGGGAAGTATGGAAGTTTGGATTATAGATGGTGGATAGTAAAGAGAATTGTTTATGGAGTGTAATATATGGTATATGGAGTAGAGTAGTGTTTGTTGGAGGACTTTTTTATTGGGTTGGATGTGATAGGATGGGATGAGATTGGATGGGGGGAAAGGAGGCTTGTGTGGAAGGGGATTTGATGAATAGATGGATGGATGATCTTGGGGATGGATCGTGATGTTTGGTTGTTGGTGAGTGGGGTTTGGTGGTGAGTTAGGGGGTGGTGGTTAGGTATTTATTAGGTGGTGGTGAATTGGGTGGTGATTGGTGGGTGGGGTTTGATGATTGAGGGTGTATGGTGTGAGAGGGGGGATGGTTGATGAATGATTTATAATACTCAGAGTGTATGTGTGTGTGGTATGGACGCACATACTTGAACAGATCAAGGCTGGTAGAGACAGACAGACGATCTATTCAAAACTTGAAAATCGTGTGCGTATTCTGAAGATACCTATCATCAACGAAGATAAGATAATTTCTACCTAGTCTTACTTGATTTTCCAAGTTTATAAAACTAATTTTATGAGTATGTTTGATTGTTGCGAATAAATGATTGATTGAATGAATTATAGTATACAGTAGGTAGGTACTTGATCTTAACAAGAAAGTTTATCGAATTCAAAGTTTCGGATTTCTTCAAATACCGCTTGGTAAACTTGGATGTTCCATGTTTGGGCGTGTGTGGAGTGACTCCGAGTGAGTGAGTGGTGGACTGATTGACATTGGTGTTGTTATTGTTAGAGCGGCGATGGAGGAGGGAAATTTGGTGCCAGGTTTGATTTGGTTGATTGATTGATTGATTGTGGTGATGATGTAAATTTGGAGTGGATGTTGATATTTGCAGGAAGTGATATTGCTATTAGTGGTGGTAGAGATTTTGAGAGCAGGGATGGGCTCACAATTAGGAAGGACTTACCTAGTAATTTTTGGATATCTGGAAGGTGTAGAAGGGTCTAGAGGGTTGACATCTCAAAGCCTTTGATATCGAGTCAGCTCTTGAGAGATACCAAATAAAACCGATAATACCATACGATATTGGGTTTTTTAGATTCAAGAATATATCCATCTTTCCATACTCCGTAGAGCAAGCACTCAAAGTAGTCTACTGCTGTAGATCCCACGACTACTGTTCGTCATCGACTCCCCTCTAAAAAATCACAAAGTAGGTATTTGAACTACTTTTCTATCTCAATACTCTAAATGCCTTGCTGTTCATTCAGCTAGGCCAGGTCTTGGATCACCCTGTACATACTTTGAACTTCCCCATCTACCAATCACATCAAAATCCTTCAAGCTTTCTTACCATTCAGTGGCATTCACGCTCAGGCATTTATCATCTTTCGATACATCAAAGTGGAATTGGGTACAGTACTTGGAGCCCCCACAAACTTTTCAAACGCCATCTACTTTACCACTTTACTACTTACCAGTCAAGTCGAATCAAATCAAAGGTCGAAAATCTCAAGTCTTGAACGGGTCGCTCGCATTCTTTGTATCCTTTGTGCATGCATCACTGTTGTTCAAACATACTCTGTATATAGTTCCTCCGTACAGATATCCCCTAGTCGTGTACATGAACAAAAACCCTTGATCGAGAAGTTCAAGCTCCCTCAAAGCCCTTGTTCTTCTACGTCGCTCTCATACGATCCTACACTGCGACTTCACCAATTGAAGAACGAATTGAATGACAACGATCGCTAGACCTTTACAACTCTTACTACTGCTGGCTGGTTTGGACGGGATTGGAATAGTACGAAAGTGTAAAGAGCACCAAGAGGGACTTGTCAAGTACTCAATAGGAACACTACCACCTCTTTGAACCATTTTCATTATCGTCGAACTGTATCTTTGGTTCATCCTCTCCACACACACCATACTATAAAACACCCTGACCACCACGAATCGTACGAATAAGTACTTACCCAATACTCTGTACCCAAACCTGCTTCTTTCACCAATCATTGATATCATTAGACTACACGCAAAATAGGTCCATTTATTTATTTAATGTGACCCTCCCCCCTCTGCCCCCTCTACATCTTTTATAACATTTCTACTGCGTTGTACTTGGCTGGCTTCAATACTGTACCATTTATCGAGATAAGATACGCGGATTGTCCTATCTGGTCCCTCAAATATTAGTGGTGTGTAACTATTCATTTCCTTGAACCCTCTTTCACTGTATCGTTCGTCTGTGTCTACCTATCTGCTAGCTACATATACACCATATACCCAACAAATCGAGAATTGATGAGATAGCGATGTAATTGTCAATAATATATCATCGTACTTTTTGTCTCATCCACTTGACTTAATTCACTCCAGTCCACTTCCCCTCACTTCACACTGTTCTCCGCTTTATCTGATGACCTGTCTGCCTCTTTCTTCTTACCTCTCTCTGCATTTCACCTATTCATCACCGTCACAACAAGTCCACTACACACATCCATCCTCGACCCTTTCAACGATCGCTTGACGGAGTCCTTGACTTGTGCTTTGTCTCAGGCCGCTTTAACATTGTTTTCCCTGTCCTTCCCACTTCGATCTCAATCATCACACAACACAGACCATTCATCAGCCCAAAGTCCCTCGCTTGTCGTTACCGAACCGGTCTGGCTCACTTTGCACAGCTTACTTACGTATCAAAAGCAGCAGCCAGGTCTTTCTCTTACATTATCTCTGGTACCCCAAATATCTTATTTGGTCGACTTCCCTTTGACCTTCTTCGACTCTCCACATCTCAACCCCAATTTGTGTGGTCGAGTTTGTCAACAACGAAACACACAATAAGGATGAATAAATTATCAAACCTCGGTCGCGATATGAGGCACTGGTCCGGTCCAGGTTTCGGCATGTCGCGACAGAATCAAATGAATGGCATGTCGTCAATGCCGCCTCACACAAAACCGACTCCTTCACCAGCGCTGCCACCGACCCCTGCGGACTCAACTATCCACTATTCATTCAACATTCCCTTCGCTTCTGATCTCGCCGGCCCAAATACAGAGGATATCCTTTACGCCACGGCCAATGCTGTTCTAAGATGGACACATCCTGAAGACGCGCCTGATGACATTCCAGTATGGAAATTGCCCGTACACACCTCGAATATCGATAATCTGTCGAAGCTTTGCTTAGACATCACCAATGGACCTTTACCCATCTTGGCCAATGTTGCCGTCACTACCCCGAAGCGTCCAGGTGCCTCCCCAGCACAAGTCACGACGGTCACTCTCTCGGGAAGCCCGGAGTTGGTACACAAGAGCAGAGAAACCATCTTGAACGATACTCCTATCGCATTGGTATGATTAAGACTGTTGTCCCTTGGTAATTTTCAAGTATTGACATCCATGTAGCGTTGTTCAGTTATCGACGTTGACGGAGATTTGATTCTCGATTCCACCAAGTCGGGCTTGAAGGCATCTGTGATTGAACATCTGGATAATGTTGCCGCGTTCTGCGGAGTCGATATATTCTTGCTGGGTCCGAAATTCACTTCTTCGTTGACCGATGGACTTAGCAGCAATGGTGAGGCAGGAAGGGATCAACGCTGGAGAGTTGCAGTTTATGGAGATATGGAGAGTGCTGAACACGGAAAGACCAGAATCTTGGTTTACATTGACAGACTAGTATGTATCTATGCGTACGGTTCGTCACAAACTGGACACTAACATTTTGATTCAGCTTGGACGCATTGTTGACGCGGCATCTCTCGAGCTCTCCCTTCACACTGTCATCTGTGGACGATCCCGAAAGAACATTAAAGTCATTGAATCCGCTACGAACACAGCTATTTATTTCCCGCCTCCCTTCTCGCAAGTCTACAAATATTGTCCAAAGGGTGCCCACCGACGAAACCCCGAGGAGATCTTCATTACGGGCGACCGACCAGAAAACATAGCCGCAGCGAAAAGCCGAATCCACGATCTTGTTAGAATGACAAGGCTCTTCATGAAAGATGCCCATGTAACTGCTGCGAAGATTGACAGCATCCTCCTTACTAGGATGGACAAGGTTCGTAGAGTTATGGAGACGCACGGAACATTCATCCAGTTCCCAGCTCTTGCTTCTCAACGTAGCATGATCAGAATTCAAGGGACAGAAGGCCTCCATGTGGAACGAACTGTCCGGGAACTCATGTTAATGGTACGTGTTATCAATGATTTTCTCTTGGGCTGCGACTAACGGTTAGTGCAGGGTGTGCAATTTTACAGCGCATCATGGTGGATCCAACAACCACCAAATCAGGCACCTTTACAACCAGCTCCACATGCAATAAGGGCAATGCTGGTTGATATCTGCTCGTATTCCTCAGCAGATGTAACATACGATAAGCTACAGTGGACCATTACTGGTTCCGATGAAGCTGTAAAAGACGCCTTGATTATCATCAGCAACATCGCATTGAACAAGCGAGGTTGTGCCTATCAGATTCGAGTCAAGCTTGAGTTGGCAAATGAGCACAAGGAGTTCGTTAGTGGAAAGAAAAATGGAAAGATTAACAAGATCATGGGCCAAAGTAAGGTTTCTGAAGCTTTAATTCGTTTTGTTTACTAATTTTTTACTCAGGCAACGTTCAAATCATATTTGATGGATTCAATGAGTACAATTTCAACATTGATGTTTGCGGAAATAACTACGACCAAATGGTTACTGGCCTAGGCCTTGTCGAACAAGAAATGCCAGCTCAAATATCGTTCCATGTTCCAGATCAGTATCACAAGCGTATTATTGGCATTGGTGGTCAGCACATCCAAAGGATCATGAAGAAGCACTCTGTTTTCGTCAAATTCTCCAATGTCATGGATCGTGGTGGGCCCAATCGTGAGGATGATGATGTCAAGTCCGATAATGTTATCTGCCGTACTCCAGCTCGTAACGCTCATAATTTAGAGCTTGTGAAGGCTGAAATTCTCGATATGGTCGATCGAGTTGATTCGGAATTCACTTCCCAAACTGTCAACGTTGACCGATTGTACCATCGACAACTCCTGGCTCGTCTCAATCAAATCGAAGAATTGGAAAAGAAATGGAACTGCAAAGTTATTTTCCCAAGTACCGAGCAAGCTAGTGACGATGTCACAATTTCAGGACCGGAATGGCAAGTTCCTCACTGTGTTGATGAGTTTCTTGGGATGGTTCCGGACAGCCATGAGCTTGTTTTGGCTCGTACCCCGGAACTCATGAAATTCTTCAGCTCCAAGACTTTCAAGACAGAAATGGCCCCAAAGCTCAAGTGTCAATACGTGGTCGAGGTCCAGGTCAATGAGGACTCTACCGAACGTACTGAAAACGATGGACCGACAATCATTCTCCTTTGGACTTTCACCAGAAATAACGCTGGTGGTGTTAGGGATGCAATTGATTTCTTGTTCTCTAATATTGCCGCAGCTGGTATTGAGGTTACCACTGTCAAGGGAACAATTCCTCGTCCCAAGTCCGATTCATTCGAGGAATCCTTGCCATACTTCGATTCTAAACTCTTACAACATGCTCCTGCACCAATGGCAACCGATTCACCCACCAAATCTTCTTTTGGTGATGATGTTGCGAGGGAGAGAAGCAACATTTTTGATAAACTTCGCAAACCTGGTAGCATGTCATCAATTTCTTCATTCTTGAATGGCCGCAAGAATAGCTCCCAATCTCCCGCCGGTTCTTTCTTCCGAAACGGATCTCGAAACGCATCAAGAACTTCTCTGATCTCCATCGAATCTACGCGAAGTTTTAACGCGGACCGTAACCCATGGAACGATAGTGGTGTCAACTTGCCGGACGATGACACCACACCATGGCCAACTCGCCAATTTGGAAGTGGCAGTGGTAGTATCCACGATGGTAAGCACTCGCATGGACATCCAGGCGATGCAACACCAAGACATAGCATGAGAGCTTCGACCGACAGCGGTCGTCCTTCAACTTCTAATTCTACAAACTCCGGATACCCCGGTCCAATAGGACCACCGCGTTCTTAAGATATCCACAAAACTATTCCCTTATTTCCTAGATTGTCTTTAAGTACGTCGATTTCGACATACACAATGGCTGGATATATACCCTGGCGCGCAATACCCCAAATACCAATTTTTTTTATGCTGCTTTGATTGTTTTCTCCTCTCTTTCTCTCAATTTGATATCTCTTTCGTTTACGGACCGTTTTGTTATTTGTTTTGTTTGCGTTTATGGTTCAACCTTGCGAAAAGTTGAAAAGAACATGCATGCGGGCGCGCTCTCAGAGACGGACAGAAGACAAAACATTTAGAAGATCCTTCTTGCGTGCTTGACTATTCATATTAAGAGGAAATACCTATTTGCTTTTAGGGAGCGTGGGATTGATTTTTTACTTTTCGTTTTGGTTGCTACAATATCCTTGAGTTTGGTTCCTTTTCGCGCGCTTTTACTTGGTAGGGTTTAGGCAAATGGGTACATGGGATTGTGAATGATGGTTTAGGCTGGACGTTGGGTTGTGATGAGGGGATGAGAGACGAGGGATGAGGGATGAGGGATGACGGATGATTTTCACTCTTTTTGCAAGCTGGGATGGAGGTATGGAAAAGGAGAGGCGGATGGTAGGGTGATGGTTTAGCGAATTGGGAATGGTTTGGTGGTTAGCGATTCTCCAACAAACAAATGTGGTGAGGTTTCTATTTGAGGTATCTGGTATGGATGGATGGGTTGGACATCAGGATCACTCACTAAGCGGATTAGTTGTGGGTGTATATTATGATACCCAAATAAGATATTGTTGTATGTTGAGAATTCAAAGATTGGTACGAGATGTTTTGTTTGTAAATGATGCGATGTAATATTTGTGAGGTTGATATATGTGATGTTGATACTAATAGTATTAAACGGGATCAACCTTGATATGATGGTTTCGATGGTACTCGTGAACAGATACCAGATTATTTGAACGATTTGAACTTCAATACGGTCGTGGTCTACCGTGCCGATATACATGCAACCACGACTGACTAAGCATGATTCTTTCTTTAAGCCTGTCCTGTCAACGGCTCGTCCCATCTAGGCTAGCTAGGTACCGTACCTAGGTACTGTAACCAAAACTAATCCTGCCTAGTGTGATGATCATAATCCCTGAGCTTCCACCATAAAAGTTGTTGATTGTTGATTGATCCCTTGGTAATGTATATAATAACATCATCCATCCTAATTACTCACCCATTCATTCATTCATTCATTCATTCACATAAGACTTACAAAATACTAGGTAGGTGAGATCTTACTACCTACCTACCTACCTACCTTTGATTCAACTCTCCAACTTCCAAGAATTAAATGTCAAATATTCATTAAGGTTACTTTCTTTCTTTCTTCACGTAAGCAAGCAAGCAAGTAAGTAAGTAAGAGTCTTTGTTCTTGAAAGTTCGAGATCCTTTTTTCTAATCTTAACTTGTTTACGTCTTACGGAGTTCGTACGTACGTACTTTGCGCCGCTATCTTTCAAAGGTATTAAATATACCTTGGGTTAAACTGCGACTTTCTATTACAATAAATAATACGATATCATATCACAACTACACAAATACTTGCGGGGATCAAAAATGGCTCCTCGAAACCCGAAGGCTCCTGCTAATGTCGGCGTAAAACGTATTGTCTCGAACCTGGCCAAGGTGACCAAGAAGCTGGCTACGCATGCTGCGCGGGATAAAGCTGCTCCTGCTAAGGCTACAAAGGCTGCTACTACTAAAGCTGCTACTAAGAAGGTAGCCCCAAAAAAATCAAAAGTCGCGTCCAAGAAGCCCCAAGAGGAGGATGCAGAGAGCGGAGAAGAAGAGGAAGAGAAACAAACTCCAGGCAAGTCTACTCTTAACCCTGATCAATTCGATATAAGAAAAGACCCTAACATTATTTACAGCACCAAAACCAGCCGCCAACCGTAAAAGAGACCGAACTCAAGAATCGGAGGCATTACCTGTTGCTAAGAAGCTCAAGATTGGTGTTACCATTAACACTCCACCCGTTGAACGCCTCGACGTTTATGTTTTTGGAAGTGGAGAAAATAATGAGTTGGGTCTGGGTGCAGCAAAAATTGATGGTAAAGCACCTGTTGGTGTAAAACGTCCTCGCTATAATTCTCTCTTGAAAGGTGTCACTCAGATCGCGGTTGGTGGAATGCATTGTGTGGCATTGACTGACGATCAAAGAATTTTGACATGGGGTGTCAATGACGGTGGTTCATTGGGCCGAGACACTAGCGCAAATGAAGCACCAGCCAAGGATATAGATGCTGATTCTGATTCGGAAGATGAAGACGACATTGTACTAAACCCAATCGAAAGTACTCCAACAGCTATTTCTACCGACTTCTTGGATGGCAGGAAGGTCATTCAAGTGCTTGCTAGTGATTCAGTGAGCCTTGTTCTTACAGACGATGGGTATGTTTATGGATGGGGATCATTCACAGTAAGTACTTTCTCGCAATTTTGATTGTTTATGTGAGCTAATAACAATAGGGAAATGATGGCACCATTGGTTTCACCACTGAGGGGGCAACCAAGGCTTCTACTGAGCACGATGGAGACCTGAAGAAGAAATTGAAAATTCAAGCGGAACCAGTACTTATTCCTGGTTTGAAGAATATCAAGTCCTTGGCCCGTGGTAGCAATCATGTCCTGGCCCTAGACAACAAAGGCACCCTCTTTACATGGGGTGCTTGGCAGCAATATCAGCTCGGTAGACGAGTTAGTGAAAGGTTGAAATTTTCAGCCCTCACGCCATCTCCTATATTGAAGCGTTGTAAGGCAATTGCTGCCGGTACTTATCATTCATTTGCTATCAATCAAAAGGATCAAGTCTTGGCTTGGGGCCTAAATAATTTTGGACAAACAGGTATCGCTGACAAAGCAGGAGAGGATGATGCTCTCATTAGGAATCCTACAGTTGTTAAGAGTTTGAAGGGGTACAAAATCGCACAGTTGAAAGGTGGTCTTCATCACTCCATTGCTTGTACTGAGGACAAAGAAGTTCTTGTTTGGGGCCGTTGCGATTACGGTCAAATGGGTGTCGACTTGTCAACTATTGATAAAAAGTCTATTATCACGAGCGCCAGTACTGGAAAGCCAGCCATTCTTCTCAAACCTACCGTGGTTCCTGACATTAAAGGCAACTTCGTCTCGGCTGGAATTGACAATTGCATTACTATTGATGATGATGGAAAGGCTTGGTCTTGGGGATATGGCGAAAACTATCGCACCGGCTTAGGCTCGGATGAAACAGCGTGGACCCCTACAGTCATCGAAAACTCAGCCGTGAAGGGAAAGAAGATGACTTTCGCTGGATGTGGAGGCCAGTTCAGTATTATTGCTGGACCTGAGGTCGATGGGAGCAATGATGCCTAGCTATAGGCCAAAGGGGCATGGAGCGAAAGGTGTAAGGCGAGGATAAATTTATGAATAACGATTATGATTTACGTTTGTATATAAAAGATAATGATACCATACTAGGTTGTTAGCTTTAGAGAAACAACAGTTCTGATTCATTTTGTGCTGTAACCAATCCATGGCTAGCTCGAACTTTGTCTTTTAATATATATTACCCGATATTGAAAATATATTTGCTTCAATTATGAGGAGCTGCCTTTGATAGATCTCTAGTTTTTACCTAGGACTTTATTCTGGATTCGTTAAAGTATATTTTTTAATAAGTAAGTAAAGTAGATGTGTTTTAATATCGGATTATCCGATATAATAGAAGGGTGATAATAACGAAGGATAGATATGGTGTTAAAATGAGAATGATTGTTAATTAATTGCCTATTAAACAAGGATTTGGGAGGTGTCCCTTTTGAGGTTTTTTTTCTTGTGGAGTAAGAATATTAAACGGGAGTTTCTTTTCTTTTCTTTTGTTGTACTCTGATTGGTATTATAATTCTTTTCTTTTCTGGGTTTTGAGGGATTTTTTGGGGATTTGTT